CATAGGTTGCGTCTTAACCCCTTGCACCACCAGGGAGTCCCCTCCTTAGGATCTTTTATGTGTATAATCATATCATCCTCAAATAGGGACAGTTTTATTTCTTCCTTTCTAGTCACTATGGCTTTGGTTTTCTTGTGTTATTTCATTGTCGAGGATGCCTAATACTATTTGAATAAAATTGGTGAATGCAGACATCCTTGATGTGTTTTTGATGTTAGGGAGAAAACTTTTACTCTTTTACCATAAAGAATGAGGCTAGATTTAAGTTAATATAGATTTTTTTTTAAAGATTTATTTATTTATTTATTTATTTATTTATACAAGCACTGGGTACAGTCAGAAGTGCGGGAGGGTGAGAGAATTCACCAGAGCCAGAGCAGGGAACAGAACAGGCAGAGTGACGAAATACACTGCTGAGGGGAGCAGCGGGCGCAGCAGGAGAGGTCTGCGCACCATGTGGGACCCTCGCCAGTGGCCGGGGATTGAACCGGCTTTGCAGAGGCTGCTGGCAGCTTCGCAGCCCAGCGCTCAACCGCTGCACCACTAGGGGAGGCCCTAATATAGATTTTTTAAGTAAAGTTGAGGATGTGTCTCTCTCTTCCTAGTTTGCTGAGAATTCTTAACATTAATTAGGATTAAATTTTGTCAAATATCTTTTCTGCACCAACTGATATGATCACATGATTTTTTTTTCTTTAGCCTTTTAATATGGTGGATTATATGAATTACTGAATAGTAAACCAGCCTTTACATTGTGGAATAAACCCTACTTAGTCATGATATTCAAATTTTCTCACGTTGTTGAATTTGATTTGCTAGTACTTTGTTGAGGATTTTTGCATCTAAGTTCATGAGAGATGTTGGTCTATAGTTTTCTTTTTTTTGATTTTTAGCTTGATTCTATCCTGGTCAGACAACTTTACTAGTATTTCAATTCTTTATAATTTGTTCAGGTTTGTTTTAGGAACTGGGATATGGTTTGTGTGGTGACTGTTCAATAGATGTTTAAAAAGAACATGTTTCTGCTATTATTAGGATAGAGTGTTTTATAAATGTCAATCGAGTCTTCTTCGGTTGATCGTATTGTTCAGTTCTATATCATTGTGGATTTTTTGTTTAATAATTCTATCAATTGTTTAAAAAAAGGTATTAAAGTTTCCAACTCTACCTGTGGACTTAGCTGTATCTCCTTTCTGTTCTTTCCATTTTGCCTGGAGAAATTTGAAGTTCTGTTGTTTGCAGCATACACATTTGGGATTGCTATCTTATTGGTTGGCTGAATCTTTTGCCATTATGTAACATCCTCCTTTGTCTCTGGTAACTTTTTTGGCTCCAAAGCCTATTTTATCTGATGATAATATAACCACTCCTGCTTTCTTTTGATTAATGTTCATGTGGCATGTCATTGTTACCTTTACTTTGTATTTGTAATGTATTTCTTGTAAACAGCATATAATTGGGTCACGTTTTAAAATCCATTCTGCCAATTTCTTTTTGTGTATTTAGAACCATTTATACTTAATATAATTATTGATATTATAGGGCTTAAGTCTGCCATTTTCAAAATTTGATTTGTTCCTTCATTTCCTTTCTTACCTTCCTGTTGGTTACTTGACCCATTTTCACAATTTCATTTTGATTTACTTGCAGTGTTTTTGAGTGTGTATCTTTTTGTATGCTTATTTTAGTGGTTTCTTTGGCTTATACAGCTACTGGTATCAACATTTTACTATCTCGAGTGTCATGTAGAAACTTTATCTCCACTTAGGTTCTTTAATCTTGTCCCCGTTACAATTCTCTAATTGTGTTTTTGTTACATCTATTAAGACCCACATCATAAAATATTACAATTTTGCCTCAACTATCAAATATAATTTTTAAAACACAGCAGAATAGTCTATTGGATTTCCTACTTTATCATTTCCATTGTTCTTTATTCATGATGTTTCAAATATCCTTCTTTTATCATTTTTGTTGGAAGGACCTCCCATAGCAGTTCTTTCATTGCAGTTCTATTGGCAACAAATTCTCTTAGTTCTCCTTCATCTGAGAATGATTTTATTTCACCTTCATTCCTGAAAGATATGATCATGAAATATAGAAGTCTAAGTTGACAGTTACTTTCATTCGACACTTGAAACATGTCACTTCTTTCTGTCCTCCATGGTTTCAGATATGAAATCCACAGCACATTTAGATCGTTGTTCCCAGAAGCAGTGCTTCTAGTTGCTTTCAAGACTTTGTCTTCATTTTTCTTAAGTTTGCTTATGCTGTATCTGGGTGTGGATTTCTCTGTTTTTGTTTGGAGTTCTTGAGTGTGTCTTCTGCCAAATTTGGGAAAATTTCAGCCATATTTATTCAAGTAGTTTTTCAACCTCACTCTCATTTTCCTCTCTTTCTGAAACTCTGATGACATAAGTGGTAGATCATTTATTGTACCACCCTGGGTCCCTGGAGCTCTTTTCATCTTTTTTTCACTCTATTTTCTTTTTGTTGTTCAGATTAGGTAATTCCTATAGTTCTATTTTCAGATTCACTAATCCTTTACCATCTATCTCTATTAAGCCCATCCAGTGAACTTTTAAAGTTTTGATTATTGTATTTTATAGTTGTAAAATAATCATTTGTTTTTTTTATATTTACCCATAATTCCTTTTTTCACTTGTTTCAAGTGAATTGCTAATTGAATCATTTTATGATGGCTGCCTGAAACCATTTTTGGATAATTTCAGAATCTGTGTGGTCTCAATGTTGGCAATTTTCAGTTGGCAAGTTCTCATTGTCTTCCATCATTGTTGTCTTTTTTATTCAAGTTGAAATTTCCCTGCACATTTGGGATAGTGTTATGAATCTCTGGATTTTATTTACGTTTTTCATGGTAGCAGGCCTCCACTCACACTGCTGGTTATGGCCTGATTGGGTGTACTCCAGAAGTTCTAGCATCCCCTAGACCTCTGCTGACCAGAAGGGATTTTTGTGTGTGTGTGATGCTTGGTTTCTGTCTTTCTAAGCTGGTCCTTTCTTTATCCTTTAGCTGGAGGTTAATAGGCTTCTCTGGGGACTTTTTTTGTGTGTGACCATAAGCCTGTTGCTTCTTTAGTGCCCATTCCAAGCTATAGAGGCAAAAAAAAAACAAACCAACCACCACCACCACCAAAATCCCATAGCCATGCTGTTTCTCAGCTCCCAAGCCACCAGGTAGTCTGCCTTCTTTTCTCCACCCTCTAAAGTCTTATCTTTGTTTTATGTATCATGTTTGGGTATTTCAATTCAACTTTGTGGGAGAAATAAGGAGAATGCCTCTACTCCATCTTATCTGGAAACAGCAGTCTGCCCATTTGGAAATTAGTTTTTATTAAACTAGTATATGCTGAAATTTGACATGGTAGCTCTTTATATAAATAACCTGTACTAAAAGAGTACCTAAGATTCCTAGAAAGGCATTTAGATAGTAATGAAATTAGCTTTTCCTCAATGATTAATGTCTTTCTTGCATATTTTTAATCATCTTAAAAGTGCTTCTTGCAGCACAAAGGACCATGGTGATGGTTCAAGGATGATGCGGTGGTGGGAGATTTAAGGGGATGGCACCTGAGGGGTGAAATCAAGTATTGTATAAAAATGAACAACAATGTAATAAAATTTTCAAAAATACTTTCAAAAAAAGTGCTTCTTTCTTAAATTCTGCTTCGATAGATCTGTTAATTTGATAGGAGAGTTTCACCACAATAGAAAAACATGTCAAATGTGGTAACCATCCAGGGTCAGAGAGTGGGTCACGAGAAAGTAGGAAACTAGTGGCAAAACTAATACAGACAGGGGCCTCCCCGGTGGTACAGTGGGTTGAGTGCAGCGCTGTGAAGCTGTCCGCAGCCTCTGCAGCACGGATTCGATTCCCGGCCAGTCAGGGAGATTCCCACATGGCTCAGCAGACTTCTCTTGTCTTGCCCGCTGCTCCCCTCAGCAGTGTTTTCAGTCTGTCTGCCTGTTCTACTCCCCGCTCTGTCTCTGGTGAATCCTCTCACCCTCCCATGCTTCTGGCCTGTACCCCAGTTCTTGTATAAATAAAATCTTAAAAAAAAAAACAAACGAGTACAGTCATACCCAGAGTCAGCCCACCCCCTGTAGCTCCCATCCCCTGCCACAAGCCACGTTTTAGTGAAAAAAGAAAAAAGTTCACATGCCACAAAGGTAGGAATTTGGACTCCTTGCTTATATTAACATACAGTTTGTTTTACAAAAGAGCCAATCGTGGGGCCTCCCCAGTGGCTCAGAGGGTGAGCACTGGGTTGCGAAGCTGCCCGCAGCCTCTGCAGCACCCATTCGATCCCCGGCCGCCGGGCGAGGGTACCACATGGCGCGCAGACCTCTCCTGCTGCCCACTGCTCCCCTCAGCAGTGTATTTTGGTCCATCTGCCTGTTCTGTTCCCCGCTCTGGCTCTGGTGAATTCTCTCACCCTCCCGCACTTCTGACTGTACCCAGTGCTTGTATAAATAAATAGATAAATAAATAAATAAATAAATCTTTTAAAAAAAAAAAAACCAGCCAATCGTTATTGGCACGCTTTATTTTGCACATTCAAAGAAGTATACAAGTGACGAATGGATGATTTAACATGGTTGGTGCCTAAAAGTGCAACTTCAGTCCCAGCTCTGCCCCCCACTCTGCCCAGCAGATCTCAAAAAGTTCTGTTCTCCTCAACAGGCACCCCAAAGCAGCAGCTGCAGAAAGCAGTCATGCTGACAGAAGACCCCCATCTTTCCCCTGTCTTTATCCTCACCAAACACCACTTGGGTGACAATTTCACCTGGCCTGTCTTCACAAGGCAGAAATGATAGACATTGATTTGGTGTGGATTTCCAGATGGATCCTGCAGGTGCATAAGGAAGATTATAGGTTTCATATATAAGAGGCCTTACATTGTTGGGGTTCAAAGAGTTTTCTGTCTGTGGATTTCTGTGTTCTGAAGTTTAAAAGTCTTTTGTTGCTTCCCTTCCAGGTCAGTCGCCATGAACGGGCACTCAGCGCGTTGCCCCAGCACTGGAGAAGCCGTGCTGTGAAGGCAATCTATCACGCTGTCAAGAGACTGGGACTTGACTTGGTACCAACCGCTGTGCAATTCTGTGGAGCAGGAATATCATGAGCTGTTAAATAATGACCGACACATTGGTTGAAATGAAGTTTCCAGTAAGGAAGTGACAGTGCAATGTGGATAATTATGGCCATAAAATAGGAAGAGCTTTAGTTCCCAGCCTGAACCTGCCTCTGCTGGAGCCATTTCAACAAGGCACTTTCAGAACAAAGAAGAGATGTGATCTGCTATCATTTCCCATCAGCAGGTGTCTGGACAAAACACCAATGTGAATAAGGGCCAAGTGCAGTCCTGTGTGTCTTGATTAAATTACTTGATATGAAATAAAAGGTCTGGCTGGTATTGTTTTAAACCTGACTCATCCAGCTCTTCTTCAAATACCTCCCCCACCGGCACCCCAAACCAATTTTAATAAAGTAATTTCTCTTCCTGGGCTAGGAGAACCCTAATGAACCAATACAAATTCTTCAAATTAATCTATCTGGTGTTTCTGTAATTATACTATTAACTGACTCTGGAGTAATGTTAATGACAGAATTAGTGTTGTTTTGTTTGGCCAGGAAGCAGATTTTATATGGAAACTCAACTACATGGTTCAAGGAGAATCTAGTCTAAATAGAAAGGAATATGAACACTATGAAGGGAACTATACTTGTGTTCAAGAATAATACCAATTATCCAAATCTCAAGGCCCGTTAAAGCTGATTGCAGGCCAGGAGAAGTCACAGGCAGAGTCCAGGTTTAAAATGTTTCTTTTAAGCCTAAGGCACATTTGAAAAATCTCAAAAATCTGTTGCCATTATTTTTAGATACTACTTGAAACCAACTTTTTCTAAGCATCTAAATTAGACATCAGCAAAGACCTTTTCTGTAAAGAGCCAGAAAGTAAACAGTTCAGGCCTTGGGAGCAATATAGTTGCTTACTTCAGTAGCCTACTCCTCAGCTGTGCATGAAAGCATTCCCAGACAATATGCAAATGAATGAGCAAGCTTATGCCAATAAAACTTTATTTACAAAAACTGATGGTTGGCCAGATTTAGTCCAGGAGCTGGCTGTGATTTGTCTACTCTTAATCTAAATGAAGTTGGAAGGAAGAGCTTCCACCCAGAAAAGAACCTCTTAGTGCAGGAAGGAAACAGACTAAGAATAGGATCAGAATGTCTGAAGAGGTGTGACCCTTTACCTATAAATACTGTGTTGTAAGCCAATGTTACATCAATAAAAGTAATACAATTTAAAAAACAGCATCATATTACACTCTTCTGCTAAGGTATCAGAAAACAATTTTAAAATACAAAACAAAATTAGCTCAGCCAGTTAATCTTTTTATTTTGAGTTTTGTAAAAAAAAAAAAAAAAAGGCTTAAGAAAAATGTGTTAAATATCAGTAAAGGGCAGGAAAACATGAGGCTAGCTTTACAATATCAGTCTAAACATACACATAAAGGCAAACATTAAGTAAAATGCTAGGAAAGATAGCACTTTGGGGGCCTAACTGCAGTTCTTCTTATTGCACATAAAAGTTGCTGATACTCCAAGTCTTCACTTTTTCACAGTTAAACATACTTTAATATTATTTTATAGAACATTTTTATTTATATAACATACTACAATGTTAACTTACAAAACCACCAGTTTGTTACTTTTGAATGGAAGAAGACAAAATTCTCTCCAATTATATTATGTAAGCTCTCTATCAAAAGTTCCCCAGAAGGTCACATCATCCCACTTTAAATCCACCCTGTCCTATTTAAAAAAATTGCTTTTTAGTTACTAAATGAGTCTTGGTGGCCTTCCCATTTAATTGTTTTAATGGACATAGTAAAAATTCCTAAATAAGAAGTACCATGTCTATTTTTTGTAAAAAATGAAAAGATGAACTAGGAGGAGGTGACCCTACTATGAAGCCACACTTCGAATAAGTGATTTCAGTGATAATTTCAAGTTCATAGACTTAACACCCAACACAACTGAAAATCATTCCTCTGCTTTTCCAAGGCCCACGGCTGGAATAATCACAAGTCAATCCCCAGATGACCGCGTACCTAGCTAGTCACCCGAAACACTGCATCTTAAGTTAACATTTGTAAAGTTTCTTAGACTGCAGATGTAGAATTCTTCACATTGGCTACAGAACTTTTCTGAGTTCCTCCAGTATATATATATATATGCTCAGATGATTTTCCACTGGCCAAGAATTGAGCCGACTATGACATTTGGCAATTCAATTAACCCTTTTACAAAGGGGGCTGTTGGAATGAGGAGACCTCTCCCAAGTGCTCCTGCTTCAGACCTTTTCAAAAGGCAGCAGAACAGGCAGACCCGCCTTCTCATCTCCAAGGCTCATGCAGCATTAAACTGGCTGCCTATGTGTTCCATGTGGGCTAGTACCCTTACAAAAATAAAACTAACATCAAAAAACTTTGGTTTCGCTCTCTACAATTTCTACTAGCACTGGGTGACAAGACAAAGATGTGTCTGTTTTTCATTAAAAAAAAAAAAAACCTCTAATATGAAAATTGAAAAGGGAAAAGTGATTTATTTCTAGGTCTTGTTTTAAAAGGATTGTCAAAGAGTCTACTTGCTTTTCGTAGCTAGACATTAGCACTGGTCTTTATAGTCTTTCTCTGTGTATTATTCCTGTTAGATTTTAGAAAAGGGAAAGGTATTTTTAGGAGTCAAAGTGATGAAAGCAGCATTCATTCAGATGGGTTGTTTCTAAGCTGTAATTTGTTTTTGTAGCCACAAGATTCCTTGAATTTACCATATCAAACCGTAGCAAATGACACTGGCAAACCAAATTCTCACTTAACAATAACACACAAGATCAGAATACAATGACACCAGTCTGATGTATTTGAAATCAGTTGTGTACTAACTAATCTACAGAATCAACATCAAAAGGCAGGCATGAAACTTGCCAACTCCCCTGTTTCCAAAGTGGAATAAGAAGTCATGTACACTTAGTGAATCAGCAAGCTGACTTTCTAGCAGCCCTCCTTCCAGATGACATTTTATAATAGATGGTAAAATCAGCTACTGATACCTCTTAGAACTCACGAGCTCCCAAAGAAGGTTCCCAGGTGAATGACTTTCCCCCCTTCCCCCACTGACTTGCTCAGTTGCCCTGCCACTGAGCTCCCCTACATGCATCAATGGGATATCTACATTTAGGAATCACTTTGTTCACATTAAAAATTTGACATGATTGCCTTAACTTCCACTGTGCACCAAAAAAGGGAGCAATATGCTTGTGGTGAGAATGTGCATGAAAGAGACCTGACCTATTAATAGTTTGCCCTAGACATAAATGTTCATGAATAGCTGAGAGAACATTTTTCCTGTTTTCTAAAGTGATTATTACATCTGTCAACCAAACCACTAGGGCATTTTCAGGTCTAGAGAACACAGCCTACAGAGCCCCTTGCTGTTTGCTTGATGAAACATTTGATGTCGTGGAGTGATTCTGGACGGCAAGGCATCAATGATCATCTGTCTGGTCACCCCAGTAAATGCCCTGGATAGTCAGAGTCCATTTAATCCCATATGCCCTTCTTTTACTTGGTTCCTAGGAAAAAAATGCAAACTTAACTAATTCCAAATTTCCATCTGTAGGAGAGAAAAGTTCAGACCACCTTGTAGCCCCCAAACAGTATTAAAAGGAAAGGTAGGAGTTTTTCTCTTCCTTCTGTTGGTGCTATATATAAGTTTGCAGCTCTTTAAGCACCTGCAATGGACACAACTGAATGACAGCAAGGTAATCACAACCTTCCCCTAATTCAGGGTGTCTGTTCTGGCAATAAGAGAGGTCATTTTATGGAGAAGCCCAACGTGGAGTCGGGCACAGGGACAAGGGAAGGATGAAGAGAAAGTTCACTTGCCTGCAAAGGAGACTACTGATTTGATCCCAGGTTAAACTGAGAAGACAGCTTCTCAGAAATCTTCACATTTGATTGGTCAGCAGTTAAGAAAAAACCCTTTGCTTTCCACAAATGGGGCCAAGATGACAGGTTTGAAATTCTCCCCACGCATATGCTCAAGTCACTCTTCTCTCCTTTTCATGCTCTAAAGTCTACAAACATGACCTTTTCAGTTCTATATGCTTGAGTTCTATGAAGATTACTAGCAAGAAAGCCTTCCATGGCACCCCAGTCTGTCTTATTCATCAACACTCAATTTGTTCCATAAGACTAATAATTAAAACCAAAAACAAAAACCACCATTCATTTCCTAAGCTGTTTTAAATAAGGTTCGCAACAGAGTTCACTGCAAGTTCTAGACAGAAGACGCTTGAGCCTTGCTGCACATGAGAATTTCTGAGGATCCAAAACAAAGCGTGGGAACCAGGTCCCCTCTAAAACTATGGAACCTAAATCTTGAGGATAAGGCTCTTGTATTGAAATTTTTTTAAAACTGGCAGGTAATCTTAACGTGCAGCCAGGACTGGGAGCCTCTGCTTTAGAACATTTCACTTTGCTGAACTGTCATCTCTCCAATGCAGAATGACGCCTATTACAAGATGGCTTGGGGTTACTCTCCCAGAGGAATTTTGCATGTGCCATTACTCACCAGTTTCAATCTCATTTATGCCAAACTGACAGCAGATAGTTGGCCTGGAGTTAGATGGTTTGTGGGCTTCATGGAACCTTACTTTTTTCCTTCAGTGCAGGCACACTGCTTCCAGAGGTGGAACCATTTTGACAAACAGACTCAATTCCCAGGACCCTTGGTAAGATTAGGATTATTCTCATCTTGCAAATAAAAATTAGGCCCACAGGTCAGGAACTGACACTGATCCACTGAATAAAGATCAAACCAAATAACTATAACCCTAGCTAGATTTTGTTCTTGGAATATCTCCAATGACTCATATTTAAGTAGGTCATAAGAAAATATTTGCAGTGGAGACTACAAAACCCTTTGGGGAAAAACACTACAGTCTATGGATTGATCTAAGACTAGAATGTGAAATTCAGTGGTTACCTTTTTCCTAGGAGGGTAATTTCTTATAATAGTTGCAGGCTTCCTAAAAACCAAACTGACAACAAAGTGTTGACACTAATGAGGAGAGGGTGTGTCCCACAAGGCTGGCTCTTTTTAAGAGCTATCATCAGGTTTTGTTTTTTGTTTTGCTTTGTTTTCGGCTTCTTCTCTCCAAAAGCAAGCAATGTCAGAGGTAAGCCAGGCTTTATAATGACCCAGCCAAAAAGCCAACCAGTCCGTCTCTCCATTTCTGCAAAAAGAAAAAAATATACACAAAAGCCTCTCCTTTTACATTTATATGCCACGACTGCTCATCGCTAAGATAACTTTATTGAATAAAAATTCGGTGTTGGTTTTGGGTGCGAGCACACTCACTCCCCTTTGGCTTTCTGCTAAGCCTGGCAGCTGCTCTCTGCAGCCTGTCCTTACAACAGCTGAGCCCTGGTGCAGGGGTATCTAAAGAAGTTGTTTCTCTGGCTGTGAGTCATAGGTTTTCTTCAGTCTTTCACTCACCTAGGTAACCCTAAGACTTCATGAGGTTAGGGACATTGCTTAGCTTCTTCCCAGCTTACAACCCCCATGGATGGCTACACAAAACAGATTTTAGTGTGCATAGAAAGGAAAGGGGAATAAAAATCATTCAATTTATTATACTGAACCATATGAAATTGTCATTTCTGTTTCTTTAAATAATTGAATATCAACAATTTCATATGACTCAACCTAAGGAAAATTTTTCTTGGTTTACACAAATTATCAATTAAAAAAAACACAAAGCAACGTGTTATTTAAGAACTAAACATGTGAGTTAAGATTAAATGGCTGGTTTCACTACGTGTATACTAGACTGGGCCACTATTTTGCCTGCCATAATAAGGAAAAAATCAACATTTTATGAAAGCATTTTTAAGAAATTGGGTTCTCAAATACACTAGCACTGAAGCATAGAGACATGGGGGGGGGGACATCAAACTTAGTTTCCAAGAGTTCTCTCTGTATTTCACCTACTGCAGGTGTGGGCAGGTAGACTATCTCACTCACAAAGAACCCAAACTAAACACTGAAATACCACACTCATACATGAAGCTGGTGCAAGCAAGCCTCCCTAGGTGCCACGAAAATGCCCTCCCTTTCCATGGCATCCAGGGTCAAGACATCTGGATTCTGAGTCATAGAGTAGATAGAACCTCCCACTGGGTTTACAATGCTTCTCTTTCCACAGACTTGCTTCTGATTCTCCGTGTGGCCACCAAAATGTATTTATTAGCTCAACATTTGGAATTCTACTCACTGTTTAGAATACTATCATGTATTTTCATTGCAGTTAATTTTTTTGCAATTGCCTCTTAGGCTTCTCGCTGCCTCCTCTTCCCCAGATGAAAGCATCCCACAAATGTGGACAGCATTTCTAAACTCACAGTAGATATCTCAGTCCTGTGAATCATTTCCCATACCATCAGTCCATGTGGTAGCCCTCAGAGCATCATGGCCTGCTAAACAGTTTCTCCTGTCCTCAGATTAACTTCAAATACAACAGTTTAACACTATTTTGCCTTTGGTTTTACAACATTTCAATAACTTCTTCCTTCCGGAGATTTCCAGAGAAGGAATTAGAATTCTTTCCCCCATGTCAAAACATTCCTGGATATATTTTCCAATCTTCAGTCTAGAGAAAACACAGGTAGCAAAACAAAGTCGGAGTCCTGACATGAGGTGGCAGCCATGCAGCCCTTGTAGCTGGAGCTTCCACTCAAACACCTTTTCACATTTTCTGTGATGGAGGTCCAATCTCTACTGTCTTCCTTCATGATTCTTCTTGTGGCCTGTCCTCCCCTAACCTGATATTCCAACAACCACATGGTTGCATGTGGCTGTGAAGCCTCTCCTAGGAGGAGTCCACAGCACCTGCGCACCTTGGTCAGACACAGCAGGTGAGCGGGTTAGGAGACCAGGAAAGCATGCTATTTTGTTTGTTTGACTCTGAACAGCGCACTACTATGTGAAAAAGTGGGAATAGGTCTGCGTTTGCCTTGATTTAGAGCCACTTTAGCCACACCCTCTGCATCTTGGGTTAAACTTTGTTACGGTATCTTCAGACCCCAATAAAATAGAAGCATTAGTTCCATTCAGTCAATGCCCCACCTCAGACAACACTGAATTTACAGCCAACCTCCTTCCACCACTGGACCTACCCCCATTGCTTCAGGGTTTTGGGGGCGGAAATTATGCATTATCCTCCAGGGGGAACACTAGGCGGGTGCCCCGGCTTGAAACCTTCTGGTCTCCCATTCCCAGGTCTCGTTCCAGCACCTCCTCGGAGCTGCTCTTTGTTCTCCGACTACCCTCGAGGCTCATGGAGGCCGTGTGGGAGCCTGAGGAGCCGTTTGCAGTCACTGTGCTGTCCCCGTAGGTCAAGGTAAGGTCACCCTCTGTCAGGATGAAATCAGAGTCTTCCTCTCTCAGTGGCTCTTGGTTCTGAAAAATGCAACAACAACAACAACAACAACAAAAATGGGAGACTGGCATCTTCCGGGGCTGGAGTCAACCCAATTTCAACCCCTCATCTGAAAAGTAAGGATTATGAAGCTTGCCCACCATGGGCCTCCAGCACTGTAACGGGACAGAAACTGAACCAGGACTTTGGACACCAGAAAGAAGTTCTGCTGTGAAGTGCCTGAGCACGCGGGGTTTGTGACAAGAGGGAAAAATACAGAGTCACCTGGACTGTCAGCTTCTCAACCACAAAGAGAGACAGGGGCATGGTCCCTGGACAAACCTGCAAATAGGTTTCTGGTCCTCTCCTCTCTGGGTAGAACTACCGAGTGGGGCTTCCTCAGATACCAACCACCCTAAACCCATCTGTTTTACATTTGAAGTATTCGTTGTCATCAGTACAAGAAAGAATACAAACAATATCAGGACGAGGCAAACCCTGGTGGGAAGTCCTCATGGATATGAACCAAGTGATGGAGAGCAAGAATCACTGTTACTGAGCATCTAATTCTATGCCTGCCAGGAATGTCACCAAGACTCTCATTTGATGCTTACCCCGCTCCTGTGAAGGGCTCCAGCCATCATGTCATGGAGAGGAAAAGCTGAGCTGAGAGAACCTATGAAATTGGCCTGAGGTTGGCCAGCTGGTAGGAAGCAGAGTTAGGATTTATGCTGCTCCCAGACTGCTTTTACCCTGTGAAAAATCACCCCATTGGGAAGAAGACTGCCGGGCTGACAGACACAGCTGAGCAAGGCCAGGTGGCTCCCACTTGAAACTCCCAGACAGCAGGGAGAGTGTCAGGAAGTAGGGTGAGGCCAGACACAACCTTTCACCCTCCCGTGGGTTGAGGGGCAACAGGTCCGCCTCCCTGTTGCCCCTCAGCACCATGTGTGCCAAACACTGAGTTTCTTAAACAGCAAAGAAATGGTTTCAAAATGCTCCAGGTAAACTACTTCCCATGTGCCCTTCAAAGCTCATCTGAGGTCTTTTGTCCTGCACAGACTGGGTCTCCCCCACCCAGGATGCCACACCTGCCTCCCACCTTTATGGCACCTGCTCAATCACGCTGCCCAAGGGCACGGGCAGATCCTCCCATCTGTGCCTGAACTCATCTACAGGAGAAACCCCCCAGGGGCAGTGGCCTCCTTCTCATCTTGCACCCTCCCTAGCGGGGCTGAACTCAAGAGTACGAATTAGCTAACTGCCTGTCAAATGTGCCAACCGCATTTCTCCCATCCCAGCCCCGCTCTGCACACGTACTGGTGACAAGCTCGTGCTCGCTGCCCACATTGTTTCTCAGTGAGGTCAACCTCTCCACACTCCACGATGTGACTCTGCTTAACCAACGCTTCAGCTCTTCTAACAGGCAAGCATATAACTCCTCTTGCTGGCTGCTCAAGTCCTCACTGGAGGGAGGCAGGGTGCAAATGTGCACTAACATAAAATTCCCCTCTTCAGGCACACAGCTAAAGCTCTCTCCAAACTCCCAAATTTCCTTCTCTCCAGTAGCGTTCAGAAAGTGCTGAAACTTACTCTGCTCTGTGATCGTTTTCTTAACGAATGACATCATGGTCCCTGTTTTAGCATGTTCTCTTTCTCCCGGCTGTACTCGTGCTCAGAAATGTTTTTGTTCATCTCTACCAGAACATCTCTGCCAGGACTCCTCACTCCCAATTCAGGGCGAGACTCTCCAGGCACATATTTACTGTTTCAAAGTTAGGAGCCACAGAGGGGCAGAGAGGGATAGGAAATGACTGAAAGTGAGGATAAAGCTGCAAATGCCCCCCACCCCACCCACACAGGGGAAGCCCCACACACGAGCCCAGGCTGCCTGCTCTGACCCCTCTCCGCAGGAAGTCAAGATTCACCAGCAGGAGAAAACAGGGCTGGATGTTAACCCATTCCATTGCAAAACTCCCACGTGCAAAAAAATAGCACTCAAGGAAAGGTCATTTAAAAACAAGAACAGCGTAGAACACAGTGGGGAGGGACCTCCACACCAAAGCTGAATGAGTTCTGTGCAGATGATCCACTTCCTTGAATTCTAGACGATAGCATCAACAAAAGTCTTGTTAAAGGTTTGTATAAACATGTAACTAGCTTCCCAGTGCAGGCTGCTTGAAACCAGCATGTTGTGGGAACACGTACATTTTAAATAAGTAGAGATCACTGTTTTCTTTTTTCAGTTTAGAAATTTATGCTGTTTAATACACAAGCTGTAAGTAGCTTTAGCTATTAAAAAAAATACTGACAGATGATTCTGTCCTCTGTGCTAGCGACTCCATTGTACAAAATCTGCTGCAGCCATTTTGCCACCTCTATTTTCTCCCAATCAGACAACACTTTTCTAGGCTTGGGTACTGGTGAAAGGAACACTCTTTTCTCAGTATCTTTATGTTTTGTCACTTTACCTGAAGTTCTCCCTGGAGAGACAGAAATACAACTTTTTCTTGTACAGTTTGACTACTTGTATAGTGTGAGGAATGATGAGTTTGGGGTGGTGGCAATAACCTAGGAGTGTTTTGAGTGGGGGGGGGGCACTGGATGCCCTTTTAGGAGACTTCTTTGGTGGTGGCCAGAAAGAGATGAAAGGGTGAGGAGCTATACTCAGACAAGGATGCTGATGAATGCCTTCATCTCCCTGGAGATCTGCTCCCTTCATGATTTGGTGGAGATCTTCTAGGAGATGGCTGCCTTCTTAGGCTTGGCCACCTTCTAGGTAGGTATGACCTTTTTTAATTAAATATATATATATATTTCACATCATTGTTCACTTTTGTACAATGTTTGATTTCTCCTCTCAGGTGTAATCCCCATAAAATTCCCACCACCAAATCACCTGTGAACCACTAGGTGGGTATGGCAGTGATCAGGATCTCTGACACCATGTAGGGCGACTATGAGGAGAGTCAGAATGTGACTGAGATCTTGGTCTTCTCCTTTTCATTTTCCACATTGGCTAAAGATTTTTATTTTAGCTTAAAAGTGTGTAAATGTACATGCATTTACTCAACTTTTTTTTTCCTTTTCTTTTTTGAAACTTTTCTCCAGAGAAGGTTCTTTAGGCTCTGATCCAGCCTCAGGCCTGGGAACTTTCAGGATGTCACTAATAGAAGTGGCCTCTTGTAAAAAAAAAAAAAAAAAAAAAAAAAAAAGAAGTGGCCTCTTGTACTGACGATGGTCCTTTCACTTTCACAGATGGGTCTGGGAATTCTGGAATTTTTTTCCTTTTTTTTTTTTTTCTGGAGCGGGGGAAGGACTCCAGCTCTTGGTTTTATGATGGCAAGATCGAGGGTGACTGTGCTCTCTCTCTCTCCTGACAAGGGAATGCTGTCTTCTAGGGGAAGGAGATATGGATTTGTATTTTCTCAGGCTTCAAGACCTCTCCCTTTTTACTCTGCTGCTTTTTCTTCTTTTTATTTATTTTTGTATAGAAGAACTGGGGTGCAGGCCAGAGGGGTGTGTGTATGTGTGTGTGTTGACCAGAGACAGAGTGGGGAGCAGAACAGGTGGATCTACTGAATTACACTGCTGAGGGGAGCAGCGGGCGACACAGAAGAGGTCTGCTGCACCATGTGAGTCAGCTCCCTGGCCAGGGATTAAACTCAGGCTTTCGCAGTGGGCCCTTGTGGTAGTAGTGCTGAGACTTAACCCCTAGGCCACCAGGAAGGCCCCTGCTTTTTCTTCCTTATCCCTTTTATTTTTGTCCTCATTTTGCTTTTTCATAGATGCCAGTTTTTCTTGTTCAATCTGTCTCTGTCTTATTTTTTCCTTCTTTAGTTCTAGGAAAGCAGAAGGGATTCCAGAAGTTTTCCTGTGCACTTAAGAGCAGGGGTCACAGCTTTCCCATAAATTCTCTAGCATTTTTCAAGAACTAGTCAGGTTACTTGGCATCATTTCGGAGTATGGATTCTTCACTTCCAGCTGGCGGAATATAAACTCAACCACGTACCTCCAAACCCAAGGGTCTCCATTACTCCTATAGTTATCCAAGGCTTTACAACCTCCAAATTTACTCTGCTCGTGTCCACCTTTTTTCCTACACATTCTGCAAATTTCAGCTACTTCAATAGCTTCTTCTGTTTGTTGCTAAGTCGATTATCCTGTTCTGTACTTATTCCGTGGGAGAATCCCACATCCATCTTGCTGCTTGGAGATCGCTCCCTACCTCCACAAGAACACTTTTGTAGGTGAATCTCACACCTACGTGGTTTAGAGTCAGTGGAAATAATGAACAGTGAACATCTTAGCTATCTCGCAAATAAACTTGGTGAAATACAAATTTCCCTAAAGGTCATGAATGAGAACTACATGGCAATGTCAATGGCCATGACTTGCCCAGTTTGAGACCCTCACCAGGCACTCAGCTCCGAAGGGAATCCCTATGATCTCACCTTTGGGTTTCTTTATTAACTTTCCAAAGGCTTTTTCCTCTCACTCTCTTGGCAGCAGGCCTTACCCTGTCAGGAGCTGGCTGAGACAGTGGTAAGGAACCTAGCAGCAGACTAGGTACAGTGCTAAGGAAATGGTTTAATTACCATCCTACCCATTTTTTTTTTTTTTTTTGGAATTGAGTATCAATCATCAGAGATGGCATAAGAATTTGATTATTATATGGCAAGGGGCTGAGGAAGCTGGAAGGCTCAATTGTCTTTAAGAGAAGATGACACTGATGCCGTTCTCTGTCATGTCTGGTGGGAGTCCAAAGAAAAGGCCATGGCGGAACTGTGGTTTTGCCAGAGAGAACCTGCTCTCTGATGGAGGTGAGCCCCACAGCCACTGGGTTCGCAGATGTAAAGCTTTGCTCCTGCCCGACAGCCTTCCTCCCGAGGGAGCCCAGGCCATGCCTGAGGTGCACGGGCTGCCACAGAGCACCTACTCTGTGCAGCAGCTGTGCGGGCAGTACCAGTGGTGACTGGGCAGTTGTGATACTCGTTTTTGGAGGAAGGGCCTGCCACTTAAGCAGCTGTACCCTCAGCTCTTCAGGGTTCTGATGTGGCTGCCCCTTAGCACTCCCGACAGCGCAGTCCCTTCTCCCTCCAGTGCTCCCGCCTACTTAAGTGTCTACATCTGCTTCCCTTCACACCACCTGGATGCCCACCACCACCATATACAGTCTGCTGCCCACCGCGTTAGAACTTACCTGGTTTGGGCCCTTCTCTCAGATTGGAATTTTGTGTTCCACTTTCTTACCACGGGTCAAGTCAACTGAAGGTTATTTACTAATTATTTGAAACCCACATTTGGGCTTCAGCTTTGCCAATTATTAATGGTGGGACCACCGCACTTCCCTCATCTAGGACACTGCAGCACCTGTTTATGCAGTGTGGCAAAGAGAACACTGAGCCTGTATGAGCTGTAATGTTCTACACATAAATTTAAGCAGGGCTTTCCTCCTAGGGCTGGAGTAGATACAGTGATCAGGAGAGTGGAGGGAACATGGGGAAGAAGAGAGGCTCCCCCCTCCTCTAGACTGTCCTTCCATGTGGATAGCTACTTGCTCTCTCCACTTCTCTGCCTGGCAACCTATGTAAGGAACTCAAAATCTAAGCCTGAAATCTAGATACCCACCAATGTGGACACCCTTCTCATAGTGTGCTGAGTCTGTTTCTAGAACTGGAAAATGAGGAAAAAAAGACCTAACCACATCAACATAAATAGACTACACAAAGAATCCTTGCATTTGTGGGATGCTTTGTAGCTCGCAATGTATCTCTGGGTACCTTACCATTTAGTTCTCATAGTCCGTCTATGGTAGTAGGCCTATTTTACAGACAGGAACACAGGCATGGAGCACTTAAATGGCCTGTCAGGACTTCAATTTGAATCTGGTTGCCCTGAGTCCAAATCCAGTGCTCTTTCTACTGTACCACAGCTGCTGCTATTGGGAAGCCCCCCAGAACCCTGGTAAAGGTTTCTCTGTTACTGAGCAAAATACATAAGCATATATGCATTAGCCATCTCTAATCACCTTTTAGAGAAGCAAAATCTGTGAGTTTGATAGATTTCCTCTCCCCAGGTATGAGACCATCCTGGATGGGGAGCCGGAAGGCAGCCTGACGTGCTATACTTACGTCGTACACCTGGGGACTGGTGAGACACCGCGCCAGCAAGCCACACCAGGCCGGGAGAGTGGTGGTTAATGGGGGGCCACTGTGTGTGAGGATGGGCTTCAAGTAACTTTGAAAAGAGAATTAAGGAAAGATGTCTGAAAAGAGAACACACACCCAACAAAATGTGTTTAGAGATCCCAACAAATAAATCTCCTGACATTCTACCACAAAAAGCTTCTTTCTTCCCATTTTAGCAATACAATACAGAAAATACTGGTAATCTGAAACAGTCTGAATCAAAGATGAAATTATGCTCTTAAAGCCTTAAATGTTAAGTGTTAGCTCTCAAATTGATTCCAATGTTCACTTAAAAAGAGTATTTGATTAGGGCCTCCCCTGGTGGCTCAGCGGTTGAGCGCTGGGCTGCGAGGCTGCCCGCAGCCTCTGCAGCGCCGGTTCATTCCCCGGCTGCTGGCGAGGATCCCCCCACCAAAAAAAAAATGTATTTGATTAATTAGAACACCTTTCTCTCTATTTTGTTATACTAAATGAAAATTTGGTTTCAATGCGCATTCCAACTTCTGTTTTTTTATTTTTTATTTTTTAAATAATATTTGCTTCTCCCCACCCCCTCAGGTGTAGTCCCCATAGAATTTCCCTCCCCAAGGCACCCGTGCACCATCACCTCAGTCCCCTGTGCTCCTCCCTCCCTCCCTCTACCTCCTCCTCCCCTGCAGGATGTCTCTGGTTTATAATTGTCTGTTTTTGCTTTGTTGTGTTTTGTACTGTTACTATTTTTTTACACTGATGTCTTACTTGGTTCCCCTATATTCCTGCTATAAGTGAAATCATCCGGTATTTTTCTTTTTCCTTCTGGCTTATTTCACTGAGCATCATTCCTTCTAGCTCCATCCATGTTGCTGTGAATGGCATGAGTTTATCTTTTTTGATTGCTGAATAATATTCCACTAAATAAATATACCACATCTTCCTGATCCAGTCATCTATTTTTGGGCATTTGGATTGTTTCCAGGTTTTATCTATTGTGCTGCAATAAACACAGGGGTACAGGTGTTCTTTTGAATCAATGTTTTTGTGTCCTTTGGGTAGATCCCCTAGTAGTGGAATTGCCGGGTTGTATGGTAGCTCCATTTTCAGTAGACTGAGGAATCTCCACACAGCTCTCCATAGTGGTTGGACCAGTTTGCACTCCCACCAGCAATGTAGGAGAGTTCCTTTTTCACCACATCCTCGCCAACATTTGTTGTTGCTTGTTTTTTTGATATGTGCCATTCTCACTGGTGTAAGGTGAACACTACCTCTCACCGTGCACAAAAATCAACTCAAAATGGATAAAAGAACTGGACATAAGACCTGAAACCATTAAATATATAGAAGAAAACATAGATAAAACACTACAAGACATAGATCTCAGAAACATGTTTAAAGACTCATCACCCAAAGCAGTGATAGTGAAGGCAAAGATAAACACCTCGGATTATATCAAACTGAAAAGCTTCTGTACAGCAAAAGAGACATTAACCAAACCAGAGAGATACCCCACTGATTGGGAAAAAATCTTTGTACTCCAGTCAACTGATAAGGGACTGATCACAAAGATACACAAAGAACTCACATGGCTCAATAAAAACAAAATAAACAATCCAGTCAAGAAATGGGCAAAAGAACTTAAAAGACATTTCTCCAAAGAGGAAATACAAATGGCCAACAGGTATATGAAAAAATGTTCAACATCCCTTATCATCAGGGAAATGCAAATCAAAACCGCATTCCAGCTTTTGACACACAGCCAACTCATGTCTTGTAAACAGGAGTGAGGATTTTGCAGCCCTTGCTCCCCTCTGCCCTGGTTCTTAGTATTCCTGTCAAACCACTCCCCCCCAGAAGTCATGCAGTGGAAATGTTGGAGGTGGACAGGACCTTAGGTAAGCAGGGGCTACTACAAAGGAGGGAAGTGAGATGTGGTAAGGGAAAGCAATTTTAGTTAGGTCACTCAGACCTGCTCTCTCTCTCCCAGATTCTCCAACAGAGTTTCTCATCTCAACATTATCAACATTTTGGGTCAGATCATTTGTGTGTGCGTGTGCACAAGCACATGTGTTTTTTGTGTATTGTAGGATATCTAGCAGCCACAACCCTGGCCTATACCCACCAGAACCCAGTAGCATCCCCAAATACTCCCCCAGATGTGACAACAAAAATGTCTCCAGATATTGTCAATTGTCCCCTAAGAAACAAACTCACCCTTGGTTAAGACCACTGCTCTAACATGAAGGCCAAGTGCTATGTGGAGAGCTCAGGGTTTGTCAAATGCACGACCCTATGTTGGGAACACCATGAAGCACGTGTCACACTGCGATGGAGTAGGGACCATTTCTGATACCCACAGCCTAGGCAATGTGGAAAAGGTAAGGACTCAACAGTGCCTCCTCGAATGCAGGAATGGCCAAGGAACTTTAAGGGAAGGTGAGACAGTGCCATGGTTACCTGTACTCAAGAGGATGACTGCTCTGAGCACCACGGTGTCCTGCCATTGCTTAGAGCAGCACACAAAAGAATAAGCTAGAGGTAGGAGGAGAGGAAGGGAGACCTGGGGTGTATTTTTACTTGGGTGACGGTCAGCAAAGGAGGGTGTGCAGGTTCTGCTGGAGCTCCTTACAAGCAGAACAAGTCCCTTTTGGTGGCTGTCCTCTAACTGCCTTCCTGGAGACAGCCTCCACAGGCCTATCAGTTACCCTGTGTCCTTAGCTCAGGAACTGACAGCAAGGGGTTTGGAGAATGACTAATACAAGAGTCACAGGGGAACCCAGAAGCTCCCTTTCAGTTCCCTGCCTCTGGCAGTTCAAACAAAAAACACCCTCTTCCCCAAATACAGAAGGCCCTCTAAGAGCTTCTTTAAAAAACAATTAAATATTCAAATTGTTGGAGAGGAAAAATTAAATATTAAGTCTCTCTTTCACCCAGCTGTTCTGTAACCACCACTACAACTTATGGAATATATTTCCCCCTTCTCTTTCTCAGCTTACAAACTTAAGTCAGAGGCTTTTTACTACTACAAGGAATGGAAAACTTAATTCATTTCAACTCCTGACTCTTCTTTCCAAATTTTTTTCTTTTTTTAAAAAAATTATTTATTTATACGAGAACCTGGGTACAGGCCAGATGTGTGGGAGGGTGAGACAATTCACCAGGCAGAGCAGGGAACAGAACAGGCAGACTAGAAATACCCTGCTGAGGGGAGCAGCGGGTGAGACAGGAGAGGTCTGCCACGCCATGTGGGATTCTCGCTGGCCAGCCGGGAATCGAACCCGTGCTGCAGAGGCTGCGGACAGCTTCATAGTGCGGCGCTCAACTGCCTATGCCACCAGGGAGGCCATCCAATTTTTTTCTTTTCCAATTCTCATTATAATTAATTTCATAGTGTAGGTATATGACATTTACATTTTACTTAATATTAATAAGTAAATCTATTCATTGTCTAGGGATTGGGTCTAAGTATTAAAAACTAATGGGGGCCTCCCTGGTGGCGCAAGGGTTAAGACGCAACCCATGAAGCTATCCGCAGCCACTGCAGCATGAGTGTGATTCCTGGCCAGCCAGGGAGCAACCCACATGGCACAGCAGACCTCTCCTGACTCGCCCGCTGGTCCCCTCAGCAGTATGTTTCAGTCAGTTTGCCTGTTCTGCTCCCCGCTCTGTCTCTGGTGAATCCTCTCATCCCCCACACCTCTGGCCTGTACCCCAGCTCTTGTATGCATAAATAAATCTTTAAAAAACATAAATAAAAACTAATGAGCTGCATTTCTGATAATGTTACTGCATGACGATTACTCCCTGTACCAAGCAGGGTAGTTGGTGCACTGGCTGAAAGGAAGTGTAATATAGTATCAATTAAACTCAGTCAGAAAACACTGTAGTGTCTTATTAAGTAAGTGATCTCCTTATAATTGTTTTTATCTTGTTCAGGTAATAATAAATCACGGCTTCTTCAATGCTGTTGCCTTTCCTGAATTTTGCTTTGTTTGATCCTTTTATGCTGTTTTCTTCCCTTCTTAGTCTGCTCATTGTTAAGCTTTCTGAATTCTTGCATGTCTGAAAGATAACTTTTTTTTTCTCTCATTTTTAATGAACAGTTTGGGTGTAGCATTCTAGGCTCAGACTTTTTCTTTTCATCCTAGAATTCTGATATCGCTCAATTGTTTTCTAACAGCCAGTTTTGTCCATAGCAAGTCTGATTCTTGCCCTGGAGGCTGCCTGTTTTTGTCTTTGGAACCCAGGAGGAGCCCTGCTTTTCCCCTTGCAATGATAGAATGCTATAATCTGTCCACTTATCCTAGTCTTACTAGGTAGGCCCACACACTCTGGAGACCAGTATTTTTCCTTAACTAAGGGATTTTTTTCTTCCATTATTTGTTTGCCTTTTCACTTCCTTCATTATCTCCACCTTCCCCTCCTAGATCCTGTTAAATGACAGTGGACCACTTGGGCCTAACCTCTACATCTTGAAACATCTCTCTTAGACATTTCTGACATTTTGCTCTAATTATGAGAGATTTTCCCCTCAACTATATCTTCTGGATCAGCAAATTTGGTCCTCACCATGTAGTTAAACTATTCATTATGTTCCTTGCTAAGTCCAAAAACCTCATTGCTAATTTCCAAGAGTTTCCTTTATTAATTTACTTTTCTTTGAATGCTCCTTTTCCTAATAATATGTTCTATATCATAACTGGAAAAACCTCTCAACACTAAGGATTTTATTAGAAAAATTAAATGAAATTTGGAATTATTTGATTCTTTGGCACCCTACCCACCTACATATCTTCATTCAGTTTTGTAGTGCATTAGGCAGGGGAAGACTCTTACCATGTCTAAGTTGGGTGGGATACCGTGAGGAGAAAACTCTTTGGTAGTCTCAAGATCTGCTTCACTAACAAGCTTTCCTTAGCAGTGTCTCTACTTTCTTGAGAGATCGATGGCCTGAGGAGAAAATTAACAGCTTCCTGTTGATACAGGAATCAGCTGTTGTAACTGCTCCTGACAACTGCACTGATCAATAAACAGCCTAATGAAACTGGCTCAATTTTGGCTTGGGCTACAGTTTTCACTGCTACAGTCCTCTCTACCTTTGGTCTCCGAAGTTGTCAAAAATATCTCTTCTGTGATTTCAATGAGTCCTGGGGAGAGAAGGAAGGTGTATGTGTGCATCAAGCCTTTCATCTTAAACTGGAAGCCCACCTACCCACTGCCAGGCTTCTGTGAAGGTGGTACCATGCTATCTCCTGCCAGCTTGTGAGGGTCATTTGTGTCAGCTGAACTCCCCTCTGTCACAGCCAAAGCCCACTTTTTCTTGTTTGATCATCCATTGAGACAGAAAATAACAGAATAACACCTTCCTCATCCAATTCTTTAGACACTTTGTGCCTGCTTATGTTCTTGTTAGTTTCTCTCCTTCACACTAAAAAGTAGAAATCTCGGTCACTAAAATTTACATTCAGATGAGACTTTAGAGATTGTTCCAGTTACTCTTCAAATAATCCCCCCCAGATTTATTAAAGCATGATTGGCAAACTGAATATACGTTATGGTGTACAATGAGTATATATATACACACACACAGATATACACACATACACACACACACACACATATACTCACACATACATCATGAAATGATCACCACAATCAAGCTAGTTAACATTTACCACCTCATAGTTATCTTTCCTCTGTGTATGGGGATAGTCTCTTAACAAATTTCCAGTATACAATACAGTATTAGTAACTATAGTCACCATGTTATCCATTAGGACTCCAGAACTTATTTGTCTTAAAACTGAAAATTTGAACACTTTGACCAACATTTCCCTGTTTTCCCTCCTCACCAGCTCCTGGTAACCAACATTCTACTCTCTGTTACTATAGTTTGATATATTTAGAGTCCTCATGCAGAATTTGTCTTTCTGTGTCTGGCTTATTTACACTCAGCGTAATGACCTCCAGCTTCATATACCGCCATAAATGGCAAGACTTCTTTCTTTATTAAGGGTAAATAATATCCCATCATATACACACATTTTCTTTATTCATTCATCCAATGACTAACACTTAAGTAGTTTCCATATCGTGACTACTGTGAATAACACTCCTATGAACATGGGAGTGGAGATATCTCTTTGAGAAAGTTGTATTTCCTCTGGATACATACTTTTGGGTATATCTACCTGATCAAATGGCAGCTCTATTTTTAAGTTTTTGAGGATCCTCCATACTGTTTTCCATAATGGCTATACCAATTTACATTTCCACCAAATGTGTATAAGGACTCCATTTTCTCTGTACCCTTGCCAATAATTATCATTTGACTTTTTGATGATAGTCATCCTAACAGGTATGAGGTGATATCTCACTGTCATTTTTATTTACATTTCCCTGATGATTAGTGATGCTGAGCATTTTTTCATGTACCTATTAGCCATGTGTATGTCTTCTTTGGAAAAATGTCTATTCAGTTCCTTTGCCCATTTGAAATTTTTTTTTAAACTATTGAGTTGTATGAACTTCTTATATATCTTGGAGATTAACCCATTATCAGATATACGGTTTGCAAATATGTTCGCCCATTCAACAGGTTGCCTTTTCATTTTGTCAGCTTCCTTTACCATGCAGATACTTTTCAACAGTTTGATATAATCTTGTTTATTTTTTGCTTTTGTTGGCTGTGCTTTCAGTGCCAAACAGTTTGCCCCGTATGTTTTCTTCTAAGGAGTGTTAAGGTTTCAGGTTTTACATTTAAGTCTTTAATCTGTTTTGTGTTGATTTTTGTGTATGGTGTTAAGTGTCCAGTTTCATTCTTTTGCATGTGGATATCCAGTTTTCTCAGCTATATTTATTGAAGAGTTTATCCTTACCCCATTGTGTATTCCTGGTACCCTGGTTGGAGATTCAACTATATCTGCATGGCTTTATGTATGGGCTTCCTATTCTCTTTCACTGGTCTATGTGTCTATATTTATGCCAGTACCATACTATTTTGATTACTATAGCTTTGTAATATACTTTGAAATCAAGATGTGTGATGGTTCAGTTTTGTTCTTCTTGCTCAAGATTGGTTTCATATCATTGTGGTTGAAAAGAAACTTGATGTGATTTCAATCTTCTAAAACTTTTTAAGACTTGTTTTATAACAACATATGAACTATCCTGGAGAATACCCCATATGTACTATCCTAGAGAAGAATGTGCACTCTGCTGCTGTTTTATGGACTGTACTGTATAAGTCTGTTAGGTCCATTTGATCTAAAATGTAGTTCAAGTTCAATGTTTCTTTACTGATTTTCTTTCTGCATGTCCTATTCATTGTTGAAAGTGATTTACTGAACACCAGTAAGTATCAGTTTCCTATCACATTAGCCTTTTTTCACTCTACAATGGAATCTCTCTAATTTTTCTACATCATTTCCAAGTCTAGTGAGTAATATGGATTCAGAATTACAAGGTAGATAAAATTCAAATGGCTTAAAAAAATCCCTGTGGGTTCTGTTTCAGTTAACAGCAAACAAAGTATTGTGAACCATCATTTACACTGAGAACTAGAAAGGCTGGCCAAAAGAAAACACAACAAAATCTTCTCCTTAATGGCATCAAAGCTACCAAGGCAGTGAAGAGGGTCAGCATCTGAGAGGAGGAAACCTAAGAGATGAATTCCCTACTAGGTAAACTGCATTTTCCCTAAAGGCACCTGAGAAGCCAAGTAGAGCATCTGGCAGACTCACAAAGGAGTGTCTATGAGAAAAAATGGAGTCCAGGACATTCCAAGGAAGAATACATAAACACTTTAGGCTCTAGGTGGGAACCTTAGGAAAAAGGACAAACAGACTAACCCTCACAGGAACCGGAGCCCAGTTTCAAATCAGCTTTGTTCCAGATTGGACTAAGATGATCTGGAATTGCTAATGCTCCTAGTCTAGCCACTCAGCAGAGGTAAGTAATACCATCTCTGAAGGATAATAACTTCATCTAGAGCATCTCAACTTATCGCTATACTTTTCCATTGCTCCTCTCTGCCACTAAGTAAAAAATAAAAAAGATGTATAGAGGATAAATAATAAAACTTCAAGAAGAAAACATAGGAAATTAACTTCATGGCTTTGGGGTAGACAAAAATTTCTAAAATAGGAAACAAAAAATACAAACTTGAACAGAAAAGATCAGTAAACTGGATTAAGACTTTTTGTACATCAAGATTCTACTTAATAAGTGAGAGGGCAAGGCACAAAGTGCAGAAGCTCTCTTTGTCACATATAATTAGCAAGATACTCATGTCGAGAATACATAAGGAACTCTCACTTATCAGCAGGAAACAGGCAGACACCCAGTAAGAAAATGGGCAAGAGATTTGATCAGGTCACTTGTAAAGGAACATACCACTAAAAACATGGAAAGATGCTCAATCTTATTAGTCAACAGAAAAATGCAAATTAAAACCACAATAATATAGCGCAAAAAGCCCACCAGGATAAAAAGCCTGAGAATATCAACTGTCAGTAAGGATGCGAGCTACTGGAACTCTCTTGTACACTAGAGGGGAATGTGTAAAGTGGTATCACCATTTTGCAAAATTGTTCTGCACAAGTAGAACCTATGATCCAGAAATTTGACTCCTGGGTATATTCCCAACAAAAAAATGTATGTGAAACAAATTATTTTAAAAAATAAAATAAAATGGAATTATCTGCACTTTTCTGATTATGGGGGGAAAATGTACGTATACATGCACCAAAAGCCATGCACAAGAATGTTTCTAGCAGTATTTTTCATAGCAGCTCCAAATTAGAAACAATCCACATGGTCATCAACAGTAGGCAGACAAATGAGTTACAGTACAGTAATACCATGCAATACTTCACAGCAAGAATATTTGCAACAATGTGGGTGGATCACACAAATGATGTCATGTCAAATTAACTAGACACTAAAATAGGTATACTTCAGTTCAGCAACAGGTAAAACTACTAAGTGTTGCTAGAAATCAGGAGAGAGATTAGATTTGGGGAAGAGCAAGCCATAGTAGTTGAGTTATGACCTAAAGGAAACTAGTAACTTTATGTTTCCTGACCTGTTTTGGTGTTAAATGAGTGTGTTTACTCTGTGATAATTTACTGAGTGCTTATGATTTGTGTACATTTATGTATGCATCTTATACTTCAATAACAATTTATAAACATTTTCAAAGTCTTCACAAGTATATAAAGCTACCTGCCCATTTGATCACTATGTCAACTGAAAGAAACATGTTTTAACTTTTTGGTTTTTAATTTTCACTTGGAACCAAGTGAATCTATTAGAACAGAGTCAGCCCTGGATGAGTCCCAGTTAAGCCAGGGTCAGCTCACATAAGCCCAAGATCAGATTTAAACAAATTTAGCCAATAGGAATCATCCTCCCTGCATGGATTAACTGCCAATCCACTTCCCTTACTCACCACAGCATGGTTCACTGTGTAATTTTAAGTAATTTACAACACAGGCACAAAAAGCTCCAAAGGTCCGCACGAGTCTAGCAGGCTGTGGGTGGACCACCTTAATGATGTACAAATATTTCTTTTGGCCAGAGAGATGTTCACCAGGACTTCCTGTGGTTGAATGATCATTACTTGCATCCCAAGAGAGAACTGACTATCCATGTACCAAGCATACATCTTTCCTTACTCATTAGAAGTCATCCACGGACAACTCAACAAGAGGATTTCATCACTGGTGTTTCACAAACACCAGGGAGGCCCCTTCAAAGGATACTTGTGGTCAAAGCTGTACCACAGCCTGAAGAGCCACGCACTCTCCTGCTTTGTCCGGTTTCCTCTGGCAGAATCTGGACCATCCTAGGAATAAATGAGAGGACAGATGCTTAGTTATAGAAAGAGGATGTGAGGGGAACAGTTTCTTTCTGAATCATGATTTGTAGAGATTTTGAGCTCAGAGTCACACAATCCATGTTACCAGTTTCAAAAGTATCCTGGGAAGTAATATTTTAGAAGAAAGAGAATAAATCCAAAAGGGAAATCAATCCCCAAAGTAAAAAGTGAAAAGGCTTGATTACATCTGCAGGCAGACCAACTCAACATATACAAAATTTCTTTGGGCATTCTTATTATAATTTTCCTCAAAGTGCCTTTCATCAGATTAATTACCCTAAAATAGTCTAGATCCCAACAAGCCCCAAAAAAGGATTTATAGAGAATATTAAAGAAAGCTGTAAAACCAACCTTCCAGGCCCTCGGAAGCTGCCTGGGGAAACCACACATGGCTGAGTTTCCTCCCCAACCAGCCAAGGATTCCCCACAGTCCCTGGCAATGCTGGCCTCCCAGCTATAGGAAGGTAAGGGGAGTGGGAAAGGGAAAACTGAGTTATAGAACCTAAAAGGTTACCAGGGGTAAATTCAGGGAAAATGAAAAGTGCAGGTTTGTGAAAGAGGCGGTGCCAGAAGCATGTTTAGGTACAGGAACTTAGATGTGCAGTGTGGCTTTGGGGAAATAAGGGAGGGTAACAGGACTCATATTTTAAGCTGACCCAGAAAGCAATCAACTACTACTTCACATACAGCGTGTCTTGGGCTGCCACCGCAGACAAGCGAGAAGCCCTTCCTCTGGGATCTGAAGAGCACAGGGCTGAGCAAGCTGGCCCTACAATGGGCAGGCCCCTGTCCCGGCTGCATTTGCTGCCCCTTGGATTTCCATTCAAGAGCTGCCCGCAGAGAAAGTGGGGACTTGCTCTCTCTCCAACCCATCCCAAACATGCATTCCCACCAGTTAGGTCCACACCCCCATGCATGTAGCTCAGACTGCTTCTAGGGCCTAGGGCACCCTATCTTACTCTCACCTTCTCCCACACACAACACCTATTTGACAGATCCCTATTCATTTCCCAAGGTTGTGCACAAGGTCAGCTTCTTTGAGAACTGTTTCTAAGGCTACAGAATCTTCCAAGAGGTATAGATATGAACATCACAAGCTCTGACAACAGACCACCTGGGTCTCCTCCTATCTGGGTCCTTATCTTGCTGTATGGCTCTGGGCAATCTGCCTAGATTTTCTGTGCTTCAGCAACCTCATCTGTATAATGGAGATATTAAGAATTACGTATCTCAAAAGGGCATTAGGAGGTGTACTGTTTTCATTTAAAGCACTTAGGAGAGTGTTACATGGTAAGCATTCAACAAATATTGACTATCATTATTATTAGCTATGTTAATTTTTTGTGCTGATTAAGTATTTGTGAAATATTTAGCATACTGTCTGGCACATAATAAGAACTTATATTATTAATTTCCATAGAATGGATATAAAATTTCAAGCATGTGCTTTAGGAATATCTAGCCCATTAACACCCTCTAAGCTATCTTGTGTGACTTTTTACATAAGGGACTTTTTAAATTTTATTTTTTAAATTGAGATATAATTGACATCTAACACCACCAAAGTTTAAGGTATACAATGCACTGGCCTGAAACATTTATATATGTAATGCAATATGATTACAACCGTCACACTAGCTAACACCTCTATCATGTCACATAATTATCATTTCGTTCTGGTGAGAACAATTAAGATCTCATCTGTTAGCAACTTTGTAGTTTATAATATGGCATTATTGACAATAATCACCATGCTGTGCATCAGATCTCCAGAATCTGTCATCTACTAGTTGCAAGTGTGTACTCAAATATCTCCCCAATTCTCCCCCAACCCTCTCCCCACCACAGCCCCTTGTAGTCCATCCTACTCTGTTTTTATGAATTATCTGGAGATTTTAAAACCTTTTACTGACATTATTAATAGGGAATCCCCTTTAAGAAAGTAAATACCACCAACTCTGCTTATCAACATTTTGGGGAACATAAAACAATGAAACACCTACTGTGTGCCAGGCACCATCCTGGGTGCTGGGAACATAAAGAGGAACAAGACCCTGCCATGCCCCTCAAGAGACACATTTTCAGAAGTGAAGACAGATACATATATAGTAACTTATGTGACAAAGAAAAAGGAAGCAGATTAAAGAACTGAGGAGTGGCAAAAGGTCCTGTTTTTTTTGAAATAGTTTTCTAGAACTAAATCATCTGATTTCTGGGTAAAGTAATATTTCATTCCATTCTTATGGCTAAAAGACTTTTTTTAAGTTAAGGTCATACTAATGAGAACAGCTTTCTTTTTTCTTCATGGAGCATGTAGTAGGCAGATTTCTACACCCCAGTCCCTGGGGACTGGGGGCTGTAGGTATGTGACATTACAGGCCAAAAGGGACTTTGCAGATGGACTTGAAAAGTTTTGCAGGTGGGCCCATCATCTCATGGGCCCTTAAAAGTGGATAAGGAGAGTAAAAGAGTCAGAGAGATTCAAGCAGAGGCAGGGGAGATTCAAAGTGTGACAGAGACTCTACTCACTGTTGCTGGCTTTGAAGGTGGAGGGGCCATCAGCCTGGAAATGCAGGTGGCTTCTAGGAGCTGAGCTTGGCCCCGAGCCAATGGCTAGTAAGTAAACAGGTCAGTCCTACAGCCACACAGACTTGAATTCTACCATCAATCTGAAAGAGCTAGGAAGGAACTTCTGCAGGGCTCAACCCTGCCAACACCTTGATTTCAGCCTTCGAAGACCTGAGCAGCAAGTCCAGCAGAGTCCACCAGACTTTGGAACTACCGAATGGTATTCAATACTGCACTGTTCTAAGTTGCTAAACTTGTGGCAACGTCTTACAGCAGCCATGAAAAAACTAACACAGAGCCAAAGAGTGAATCAATGATGCAACCTGACTTGGACCTTTTCTAATTTCTCTAGGATGATGGGACTAAGATTTTTCAGAAAGAGTTACAAACAGGGAGTCACGAGTTCCACGTTGCCGGCGCCAGGTCTTCTCAAACTGTAAAGTGCACATCCTACCCCAGACCCAGTTACAGTGTAAATGCTGATTGCGGCGGGGAGGTCTAGATGGGGCCTGAGAGTGTACGTTCGCAACAGGCTCTCTGGTGACGCACAGGCTGCCAGTGCATGCAGCCCTCACAGCAGCAAGGACAGCACTGTGCGTAGCGGAAAGCAGACAAGGCCCTCCAAGATCTGGCCTCCACCACACTCCACCCTTACCCTACAGCACATTGTCACCGAGCCCTTAAGGACAGATTCATGTCTGGCTTGCGGACGTATTCCCAGAACCTGAAAGGATGGCTGAAAGTGAACAGGTGCTCGCAAACACTTGTCAAATATACAAGTACATTAATGTCAATTTTGAATTTCTAAGAAAAGAGAGAATAGCAGAAAGGGAAATTGGGGGCCAACGGAGGCAACGGGAGCAAAATCATGGCGGGACATGGTGGTCAAAGAGCAGTAGTTTGCAGAAAGGCACTTCAGTAACTGCGTGAAGTTAAAGATTAAAGGGACTGGTATCAGATGTCAGGCTGGAGGAAAACCTTGAAGACCAAAAGAAATTTGATTTGCCCAGAAAGTTGTATGTCAGTGCACTATAAACAGTTGACATTTGAACACACACACACACACGTTTCCCTTCCTCCACATTCCACTCATATCCTGCTTGTGACCTTGTCCCGCTGAGATAATAAAGCTGGGGTAAATTCAGAGTCCTGCTCCTAGCTACTCCAAAGCGGCCTCATCAGTGAGTGCTCTTCTGTAAACTTGGGGAAGGAAGTGAATGCTGTGTCTGCATGTCCGGCCAACATAAATCTCAGCAGTGTCTGGCAAGAAATGCCCCCCTTGAATGGGGTGGGAGGCCACCCGCTTGCCCAGGCAGCTAACCTCCAGCCGAGCTTGTTTTTGTTTTGGTTGCAAAGTCACCAAGACCTCCCCAGAAACAAAGCAACTGAGTTTTTTGTTTTGTTTTGTTCGAATGAGTCAAACTTGCCAGGGACATGAAGCTGAAGTCTGCCTGCAATATCCTTGTACTTCCCTCACATGAAGTCAGAAGTTGTAGCCAACAGCTCCTTTCCTTGGCCCACAAGAGCTAATACTCTGTAGCTCCGTAGCTCTGACTCTGTTTATAAGCCCGGGCTTTTAGAGCCAGTGGGGAAAATTATGTTTGCTATAAAGCAATGCCTTCCCACAGAGTATCACTTTTTTGTTTGTTTTTAGGAAGATGATTTAGAAAATGAGGTAAAGAGAACTGCCCTTTCTCTTCCAATGGGGAACAAACATCTGGACTTTCCCCACCTCTGATTTCAGTTGCATGACAACGCTGACCATGTGACCTGGATCCATTTCAGGGGAAACTGCAAAAACCCAGGGTTTCACCCAAAAAACTGAGAAGTCCATTTGTTCTCTGTTCCACATGACAACTGAGTGCTCCCAGCTTTGCTGTGAGTGGCTCACTGGCCCTGGAATGTCAGGCCAGGAGGAGTTGGAGAAATAAAGCCCTTTCTGCACAGGCCATGAGTCATCTTAATGAACTTGTCCTGGAGAACCAATCTTGAAGGTCACCTATTTTCCCCAGTCTGAGAGCAATCTTGAAGACTTTCGAAATGCCAATGGGCCTGACACTGAGGGCCCTCTGCGTGACTGACTGTGTGTGGCTTGGGAGGAGGGAGGTTAAGTGGAAGTCGTGACACAGCTCCCAGAGAGGCAGCCAATAGGGTGCCAGCAAGGATGCAGCAAAGTCAAGGGCCATCAGCAACACTGAATTGACCCCTCCAGGTCCTTCCAGGCAGGTTTCTGAAGCTCACCCCATCCTGGGACAGGAGGGCACTATCTTCAATGTCACTGCATACACTAAAGGCACTGCTGTCACCCTGAGCACTCAGGATTCACTGCTTTTGTAAATACTTCCATGGAAAATTGATAGTACGCTTGCTACTGAATCTAGTGATAAGCCTGTGTCTCCATGTGCATGTTTTATGAGATACATAGTAAGTTCAGCTACCTGAAACCAGCCAACCCATTTTATGCATTCCTTTTACAGATGCTTAAGTCCAGAGGCAGGAGTAATGGAAACCAGCACAAGGGCTGGAGGTGCTTGGTCCAGAACTGCCAAGATAAAATCCCTCCAAAACCTGGCTATTCTGCTGGAATCAGTCTCTTTTCTTCCCTAAGTAATCTTGACTGGATGCAGTTCTATGAAGGATGCTTTGGAGTAGGGCCGTGATACCCTAAGAGCCCTCATTTTCATGTTGGGGAAATAAAGGCATCCAACATGCTTTCCACCCAGCTTTTCTCAGGGTGTGTTTCAAGATCCCCCAATCAGTTATACTCTAAATTAGCTTTTAGGTGCAGATTTCCTGAACCCCGATTCTCTAAAGTCTTTAATCAAAGCTAGAGTTAAACAGCAACTTTTCAAAAAGAACTTCTCAATGAAGCTGCCTGTTTCCAACTGGCACAAAGGCCAATTCTAATATGATCTCAAACATCTTCTGGAGCACCATTAGAGTGGGTTAGTTTCCAATGAAGCTCATTGAAAACTCTTCCCAAAATGTCCAGAGCTTTTGGAGGTTGTGGCTTTGTGTCCCTTAAGGGTATCATACCAATGTTTTATCAGGCTTTGACCACCCTCAAAGATAAAAAAATCAGAAGCACTCTCCCTCCCCGGGCTCTGCACTGCACCGCATACTCCAAGATTTGGTAGGGGGAATCATTCAGATGATCTTATGGAATCCAAAATATGTAGACTGGATCAAGGATTAAGCACAATGATGAGTGCAATTCAAAGATGACTGGAAGAAAAAGAAATACCCGACATAGCTTCAGGGGTAACAAAGCACGTGGTCAGTAAAGCACTATTGCTCCTGTCACTCCCCATCCAAGCAGTAGATGTCTATGGAGCGCTCCGTGAGCCAGCCCGAGCCAGCCCTGTGCACAGCGCTGGATGTTCAAAATGGAACAACATGGTTCTTGACTCCCAAGACCAAATAATAATCTACTAGTAACAAATTTCTGCTGCTGTCATAATTACCCTTTCCTGCCCAGGAAATGCAGTCCGGGAAGGAACAAAACCTGGAGGCAGAATCATCCCACCAGACCCACAACAGGGGAGACAGGCAACTTTAAAACAAATGTCCCACTTGTTGACACTTTTCCTATCCAGAGATATGGTCTCTATGCCTTCCCATTAAATCTGGTCTGACCAGAACAACTCAACTGTAACCAACAGGGGCACAGCCAGGATGCCGGGAGATTTCCAAGGGGAGGTCTGAAAAGGCCATGCAGCTCCCACGTGGCTTGCGGGGCACTGGCTTTTGGAACCCTGAGCCACCATCTGAGAGTTCCATAGCTCACAAAGAAGCCACCAGGAGGCCTTCCAGTTGGCTGCTCTAGTCTTGTGTCATCCCAACCCAGGTGCCCAACATGGGGGTCATGGGCCTCTGGATGATTCCAATCCCCTGTCTCAAGATACCTCTAGCCTTCTTTCTGGAATAAAAGCAAGCCACCCCAACTATGCCCTTTCCAAATTCCTGATGTAGAGAATCTACAAGAAAGTGCTATTCACTTCCCTACACTCAGGGCAGTTTGTTATGCCGCAGTAGGAACTGGAGCAGTTGGCAAAACCCTGGGTCCACATACACTCCCCTCTTCCTGCTGGTCTCTACTGCAATAGCATCTTAAAACTGTTCCCGCTCCAGATGCCGCCACAGGGCTCTTCTGCTCCCTGCCCTGACAGCACTCCTCCTCCCCCCCATTTGCTCCAGTCTGTCACTGCCGCCACTGCCCTGCTCAAGCCTTAGCTTGGTAGCCTTGCTGTGACCTTCAGTGTCCGAGCAGCTGAGGGCTGCTGCTCTATACTGCTGGGCAGGAGGGGAACGTAGAGAGCGGTGGAGGATCCCGGGTGCTGGAGGAACTGGAGGGACTGCGATCCCCCAATGTCTCTCCTCTCTCTCTCTCTTTTTTAAAGATTTATTTATTTATGCATATAAGAGCTGGGGTACAGGCCAGAGATGCAGAGGGTGAGAGGATTCACCAGAGACAGAGTGGGGAACAGAACAGGCAGACTGACGAAATACACTGCTGAGGGGAGCAGCGGGCAAGTTAGGAGAGGTCTGCTGTGCCATGTGGGTAGCTCCCTGGCCAGCTGGGGATAGAACTTGTGCTGCAGAGGCTGAGGATTGTGTCATAGTGTGGTGCTTAATCCCTTGGACCACCAGGGAGGCCCCGTCTCTCCTCTCTTCCTCAGATTTTCTAGGCTAGAGAGTGAGATCACATCCCTCTCCTGAGAGACTCAGAACCAGTCACAGCCAGCCAATCACCAATGTAGCCAATAAATCTGTTCTTGGGAGGTAGGGAGTCATGGACTCAGCTAAAACACTCTTACTGGCCGGCACACCCCTTTAATATGTTGCTGAAGCATATAGACTTGGGTCAAATCCTGGCTTAAGCACTTTCTAATTCTCTGACCTCAGATGACTCACTTAAGCTCTCAAACTTCAGCTTCTAATCTGTAAAATGGTGTAACAGCACCTACCTCATAAGCTGGCTGTTAAGATCACCATGAGGGAATCCACACAAAGTGCCTAGTATACAGTAAATGCTCCACGAATGTCAGATATTTTAATGTCTTTCCTGGGAAGAAGCAGGTCTTGTGACTTACCCCCTGTAAGACTTGAAAGCTGTCGTTGTTGGGTGGTGGGTCTTGATCTGGGTCAACACCGACTCTGTAAGTCACCAGGGAGAAAGACAAGGAAAAAAATGGAGAGTATTAGCTTGGACCATGGCACCCACTCCGGCTGCGAGTAGCCAAGAGGCTGACTGTCTTCTCAAAGTGGAAGCAGTGCTTAGTTACAGAAGAGAAGCTGCCATGCAAAAGTTGTGAGAAAGAGGTTGTAACCCACATCAGATCCTGGGGGCAGAGGCAATAAATCCTGTGTGTTTACACCTTAAGCGAGGTCTCTGGGGAGCAATGCCAGCTGGAAACTGTCCATCTGCCTTCCTGTACCAGATGGTCCCCGTTATAAAAAGGTGTATTCCACTGTACCCTTTTTCTTCTCTGCTGCTTTCTCACTCCTGCCCTGGTTTGTTTTTATTTCCCGAACTTTTTGTTATGGCATTTTTCATATATCCAGGGAAGTGTTGAAAGAATTGATGATGAATCCCATATATGCCCCAACCAGATTCTACCACTAACCTTCTCTTATATGTTCTATATCACATGTCTATTCACCTATCATCTCTCTTATTTTTTAGATGAATTCAAATAAAGTTGCAGATATCAATACACTTGCTCTAAATACTTTAACATGCATTTCATTAACTTTTTATCCTGCTGCCCCCATGTCTTCCCTCAGTAGAGGCAATCTGAGAACTGACACTTTGAGATCAACAATGGAAGACAGAAAGAGAAAGCAATGCAGCAAAATCCACCTACAACAAATTCCATAAAAGCACTAGGTGATCCCCCAATTTAGTAACATACAAATGTTTCTCGATGTATCTGTTAATTCTTTGTCTCTGTACCTTCCTCGTTCTGGGGCAGATAACTGTGACACTGATGACAAGGATAACATGAGGCAATTAGGGAGAAAACAAAGATGTCAGGACAATTCCCTCCATCCCTCACTCCCTCCAGCATTGGAAAGAATGAATGGTACTGACACAGGAGTAGTGTGATATCTGGAAAGCTCCTACCATAAATTTCTTTGACCCACTGTTTTCTATCAATAACCTTTTTCACAACATAAGCCTTCTTGAGTTATCTGTACAGCTTATCAAGTCTTGTTGTGGTTAGAAGGAAGATGCTGCAGGACCCTGGGCCCAAACTGGTTAGAGTAGCAGCATCACAAGGCATGTGCAAAACGGTGAAAGTGACCCATTGTAGCCAAGGACTCTTTATAATATTAAAAATCTCTGGCTCTGGGTGGGATTTGGCCCCCATTCTCTGGGCATTTGACATATGATGAGGTATGTACAGCAACTGCACAGGCATCAGAGAAATACTGTCCTGAACATACAAGAAGGAAATCACCCAGTTGTCACATTGCCTTGCTTGCTTCTTGCCAAAAGACCATGCACTCTATAAACAAAACAAAAAAAAACCAGGCTAAGGCTTTGACTGGGGAGTCACTTCTTTTAGAAGGGGACTCCCTGGAGCTCTGTCTCTGGGTCTACCTTTATTGTGTACACTAAACCCTGCTGCTCTTGCTTCCAATCAGTGTCTCGAGTCCCCACTGCATTCTTGAGTGAGTTGCTGAAGGAATCACCAGACAGACAGTGACAATATCAGAAAAGGTAAACTGAGAACACAGCTTTCAGCATATCTGATTTGAGCCTGAGGAGAGGCACCCAATGGTCTTGACGCGAGACTGTATTTGCAGTCCAGTTCCAGGGCATTAACCCCAATGAGCGGTCAGCAGATGCACAAAGCCCCATGTACGTTACTTTCCCTTCTCTCCCTCCTTCTTCCCTACCTGTGATATCCACGCCATTTCTTGAGAAAACAGACTAATCAGAAAGGGAATAGGACACAACACAGACACACCCCCCTCTCTCAAACTCAACTTCTACTCTGCCTTATTCCAGGCTTGTCAATAACCAACCCATGCTGCCTGCCCTGGAAAGTGGAGATACAGAAGGAAAACGAACACCTACCACAGTTTGCTGAAAGCAAAATTTAAAACCACAAAACAAATTCCTGTATCCCACAAATACTTATTAAGTGCCTCCTATGCCAGGCACTTTTTTGAACACTTAGTTTAAACAAAAAAACCACAAATATTTAGTTAAATCAAAGATCCTTGGTGGGATCTTTCTAGTAAACTAGACAGACTTCTATGTGTCTAGAGCTACTTCCAGGCAGAGGTTTCTGGGGCTGGTGGCATATCCTCTCAACTGGACATTACTTGAAGACACTGAGCAACAAATCTCACAGATTTTTAACAGGCAATTCATCCAATTCAGGAGGCCCAGAGCTGCCCACAAAAGTCACACTAGAGTCTCAGTGCACCTGAAGTATGCAAAGTGGTAAGGGAAAGTCACATACTGAATTGTGAACTGCTGATCTTGAACCCTCACTGTTTTTAGAGTCTCTTAACGTATATTACATAGGGAAAGTCCTCTATAGGGTGGTTCTGTGAACAACAGCTAGGGATCCAATATTAGGCCTTGTTCTGGGGATCCCATAGTAGCACAAGGCTACTTCATGCCAGATGGAATTACTGAGATGAGCCTCCCAGTGCAACTTCAGAGGGGGCAAAGCACCCATAACCCCAGCACCTGCTAGACTGCCTACCAGAACCCCAGGAGCCATGGCAGGCCTCAGCCAAGTCCCAGACAGGCTATTGCAGAGGCAGCAGTAATGAGATTATATGATCTGAAGGGCATAAAGTGCAGCATGGCCAGTTCAGATATGCCACTAATAATCTCTCCTTCCTATACAGTGAATTTTGAAGCAGTCATATAAGCCTTTGTCTATGGCTTCATGTTAGCAAAGATAAAACAAATTGACTTTATCAGCCCAGATGAACTAAGAAGCCCACACATGGGTGGAAGAAAAGGCTTCTGCCTGTGCTGTGCTACAATGATGTGAGTGTTGAATACAGTAAGAGCTGCCAAATGGAATTTAGGCCCCTCCATTATTCTAAATAATCTCTAAGATCAGGGGAAAAATTGTTTAACAAGAGCTAAAATAAATTATTTTTAATAAGAACTGCTTATGGGGAGGGGAGGGAGGGGCAGGGAAAGGAAGGACTAGAGTCAAAATAACTGGGGGGGGGGTGCAATTGTATGGGGAATATAACCAAAATGAAAATGTATACATTGTGCAAAGATGAAAAAAGATGTAAGAATTATATAAAATAAAATATTTAAATAAAAAATACAACAAATAATAAAAAAAGAGAACTGCTTATAAAGACTAGGCTTTGACTATTTTAATCAAGTCCTGCAATGTCACTAGAATTTCTCAGTGACAACTCCCAAGATTCCTCCTGGGACCTTGTGAAGACACAACTCCTTGCCCCACAAATATTAAGTAAAACTTTGCTTAAACTGATTATTTAAATAATGGAGAGAGCCTCCCTTCATCAGTTTGTAAAATAAAATTTAAAACACTCTGAAAGCTCTTCTTTACAAATAAAAGTTGTGAGGCAGACGTGTAACCATGAAAAGCATGACAGAATTAGAAAATCATCATTTTCTATTCTTAGCATAATTATTTCAAGTAAGGATATCAGTGGATGATTTTACAAATGGGTAAAAGGCTGTTGGGAATCTGGATACTCATAGGATATCAAAGGGTCACTCTACAGATTACTTGTCAGTTATACTAGAGAGAGCTGGGATCTAAAGTGATCAAAATTAAACTCACCAATAAAAGGACAGTCTGACAGTATGTACCACCTTACACTATGCAGCAAGAAATCTACAACATCACTTGTACAGTACTTTTGGAAAAATGATTATTTCTAGTCATGAGGAAAATAAATCAGAAAAATTCAGAATGTTGGAAATTCTTTCAGACAACTATCCTGAAGACTTAAAAAATAACGAAACCCTCAATATCATACCTGACAAAATAGGGGAGATGACTGTTCCAGATTTTAAATGAGATTCTAGGTTAAAAGAGAAAATGAAGCAAACTGATAGGCTTCTTCTGGAATAAAAAATTATAGAAAACACATAATTTCCCTTCTGGTATAATAATATGTATATATTGAATAAGCACCATATAAAATGCACTGAAATCTCAGAAATTTCCGAAGTGTAAACCTTAACCACGAGACCATAATCTGAATTCACTCATGTCCCAAGTGTAATAACTTGCACTTTACCTGAAGGACTATCTTTCTTAAAGGAAGGATATTTCAAAGGAATGTTTTGCTCTGCAACTTAACAGTACCTAAAATCAGCTCTCCTAAATGACCTCTCTAACTCTGTGTGTGTGGGGGGGGTGTGTGTGTGCTTACACGCACGTACATGTAAGCATACACACACAATTTAAACAGTAGAAAAGGTCTGAACCCAGGGACTGCAAATCCTTTGGTTAATTTTATGCCTGTCATTAAAGTACACAGATCAGGGGCCTGATAATAGTATCATCACGATCCATGTCTCACGACAGGTATCACTGCTTTCTTTCCAGGCCTCCAAGTGAAATACATTTACAATGTCAAGAACAGAATTCAAGTCTATTTTGATTTACCGTATCAGCACTGAGAACCAGAGAGAAAGCATGCTGCGTCAAGACACAGAAAGGAAAGGAGAAAATCTTTACTCTGATCACCTAATATTGTCTTTCTTTGAAACACAGTCATATCACAAACTTGAATGGATATTGAGAAACACATTGCATTAGAGGAGTCTATCCTGTGATTTTAAAAGTATGAAAGTTTACAAATACATACTTAAAAAGATGCTATAAGCTATAACCCCATCATGGCTGAAATAGAAGATTCCAGTTCTCTTTATGAATTATAAGCCCTGTGCAATAGGTCATAATGGGGATTTTATGAAAAAAGAATCCGTGGCTCTGAAAATGGTCTTCTCCGAACACTAAGCTCAGGTGTACAAAAAGGAAGCACTCGCCAAGCCCAGCTTTGGTGGGGAGAACACACTGTCAGAAATGCAGGGAAAGGAGACTCAAGCTCAGATACCAGTGTCATGATCAACCCAGAGAGAGGGGAGGAATGATTCAATTTGACCTGACCAATTATGATTTTACAAAAGGGGGTAGAGGATCGGCACACACAGGAAGGAACAGACAGACAGCAGAGAGAGAAACACCTCAGGTTAGAAAGATAAGTCGGGCCTGGTTAATTTGTTTCTGAGGATGCCCTTGTGTCACCTGAAGTACTGCCAGCGGTGTTCACTCTGGTCCTCTTCAGAGGGCTCCTCGACGCCAACTCTGGGCAGCAGAAGAAGGGAACATGAGTGTGATGGGGATAACAGGGGTGCCAGGAGCTCTGGGCCATGACCTGGATCACATCCATCAAAGACAGGCCATCTTACTTTAAACGTCAATCGGTATTCTCTCTTAAACTGTCCCCATTCTCTAAAACCCAGAGAGGCTGCTAAATTTAAATTTAAAGCAACAATGTTAGAAAGCCAGGTCAGATGAGGATCAGTTAGGAATGAAGACAAACCTCTCAGGATATTATGTAATGAAATGTGAGGAATAAATTCAACTCATGGAAAATATACACAATTTTTCAGGAATCCATTTGTTTCATAAAGCAAAACACATGTATATAAAAACTGACAACACAAAGTTGTTATTAAACACATATTTGAAGTATTTATACATTTTTAATACATATTTGACAGAAAGAGCAAAAAGCACCATGTTACTGAAAATGGCAACAACACTTATGAAGACAAAGATGGCCTTATTTTTCTAGACAAGCAAACCATGCTGTCCATGAGTTCAACATCAAGGTCATGAACAGAACTTCTGCTATTTCCTTTACCTCATGGCCTTAGAATTGACATGGTCCATTTTCACCTTCCTTAATAAATGCTAGATTATTCGGCGTGCATTTGAACTTCACCATCACACTAAGAGAAGTTTTACAACCTTGGTACTGTTGACATTTTGATAAGATACCAGTAACAATGACCTCACCCAGTTGAGGCAACCAAAAATGTCTCTAGACGCTGCCAAATGTCCCCTGGGGGCCAAACTTGACCTTGATTGGAAACCACTGCACAGAATCACTATTCTCAGTGGGGGGTGATACTGTTGCCACGGAAGTGAAATTGGTTCTATGAGTACAAAAAAAATGGCAATATTATAGTACTTTGTAGTCCTCTAAAGCACCATACTATATAAACAGATAGCTAGTTATGTGGTATTAAAATTTCACTGGGAGAAGTAATTGGGAAAAACTTTTTTTTTTTTTTTAAATATTTTATTTATTTATTTATTTATACAAGCACTGGGTACAGTCAGAAGCGCGGGAGGGTGAGAGAATTCACCAGAGCCAGAGCGGGGAGCAGAGCAGGCAGAAGGACCGAAGCACACTGCTGAGGGGAGCAGCGGGCGGCAGGAGAGGTCTGCGCACCATGTGGGACCCTCCTCTGGTGGCCGGGGAGCAGCCGGGGATCGAACCGGCGCCGCAGAGGCCGCGGGAGCTTTGCAACCCAGCGCTCAACCGCTGCGCCACCGGGGAGGCCCGGGAAAAACATTTTTAAAGGCTCTTAGGGGTGTGATAATGAAAGAGGTAGAGAAACACCATGTTAGACAATGCTTGAATTCTCAAGCTACTAATATTCTCTGAAATAAACAAATGAGAATGTGATACTTCTTAGGGTAGTACTTTTAATTAGTCACACCTTCTAAATGTGACTGAAATCGGACTCTTGATATTACCATAGTATAAAAAAAATTGTATCATTCCAGCAAAGCAAGCTGGATTCTTTCAATGTAAGACTCACTAGTAATAATAGTAGTAATAGTAGCTAGTAATGCTATGATGAGTGACAATAGTATAATTGCTAAAGTATACTAAATGCTTAATTACCATGTGCCAGATAGAGGTGAGAGAATACTTTACCACACTTATTTATTATCACATTTTATATTCACACTATTGTCATCCCCATTTGATCAGTGAGGAAACCGAGTTAGAGAGGTTAAATAAGTTGCCCAAGATCACAAAGGTAGAAAATGGTGGAACCAAGGTCACAACTGATGCTATTATACTCCAGAGCCCCAGCTTTTCACGCTACAGGATACTGCCTTTGATTATAAGGTGGTATCTTTAAACTCTTAAAATATCCAGTTACAAATTCAATTACATAAAAAGCTCAGAGCTCCTCCCTTTGTTATCTTACAAAGAGTTTTATCATAAATTCTCAATCTAATAGGATTATACTGAGCAAAGTGTCCTTATTTGTCCTTAATTGCATTACCGCACCCTGGGGAGTGAAGGTTACCCCCCCCCATGCACAGGGCCCACCCACCATCACCATCACTTCATGCGAGTGTTGCTCTTAGCTGGGGTCGCTACGAGGACAGCCACCTTGGTGCTGAAATGTTCTCAGGACACACATAAGGCTCATCTGCTGAAGTAATCCCATGATCACTTTTTTAAAGTTGCCTAAATGATGTCCTCTGTGACTAATACTTGTTCAAGAGATGAGGAGAAAAATAGGTGTGTACATTAACAGAAAACAACTTCAGCATTTTGCCATTATGTTTTAAAATTCTAATCACAAAATGCCAATTCATAAAAATAAGTTGAATTTCTGGAAAGCAGTGTGACCTGGTTTTGGATATGTGATTATATTCATTTTTATTTTATATGTAGATTTGAAATTAGCCACAGGAAAATCACAGCCAACTCCTAATTATTTACAGTGAACTCCCCTTGCTTCTGACTCCTGAGCAGCCCTTTAGCAGCTAGCTCATCAGGGCCTCTGTCAGCCGTCTGGGGTAAAAAGGAACAAGTAGTGACAGAGGTGAAGTCGCAGAGGTCATAATACCACACTGACCTTCAGGGGGTTTCTCAATCAATTTAGAATAAGAACTGGCTCACAAAAACGATTCATGACAATTAAGTAACACCAGAAAAACCAACTGGTCTCATTACCTTATCTCAGAAGGAATTTCTTTTTATGTCATCTCTATAAATGTCATTTTCTATACTTACATTACCGCGATTTATACACATCTGGAAAAATACAATGAATTGACGCCATATGTACTTTTATCAGTGGCACACTTTGCTTCATTGTGCTATCTAGGTACAGTAGGACAAAAAAGAAGAAAATATTAAAGATAGGAGCAGAAAACAATGAAAACAAAAATAGAAAAATCAAGGAAATAAAAAGCTAGTTCTTTGAAAAAAATCAATATACTTTACAAACCTCTAGCAAGACCAAAGATAAAAAGAACATACAAATTACCAATTATCAGGAATGAAACAGGGTTTATCACTATAGATTTCACAGACATCAAAAGAATAAGGTAATACTACAAATAACATAAACTAACAACTTAGATGAAATGGACCAACTTCATAAATCACCTACCAAACTCACCCAATATCAAATAGATAATCTTAGTAAGACCTATAACTACTTTAAAAATTGGCTTCTTCTAAGACAATACACTTTCACTGGAGAATTCACAAATTCTTATAACAATTTATCCCATCTCTACACAATATCTACTAAAAAACAGAAGAATAGGGAACATGAACCAATTCATTTTGAGAGACCTATGATATTAAAAAAAAAGCACAAAAAGGAAACTACATACCAATATCATTCATGAACACAGACACAATTTTTTGTAACAAAATACTAGCTATTAGAATTCAGCAATACACAAACATTTACATTATAGCCAACTGGGGCTTATTTTAGAGAAGCAAGTCTGGTTCAACATTTGAAAATTAATTAGCTAAACCATATTAACAAACTAAACAAGAAGAAAATCATACGATCATGTCAAGTGAGCCAGAAAAAAAGCATCTGACAAAATTCAACATGCTTATTATAAAAAATTCTCAGAAAGCTAGCAATAAATAGGAATTTCTTCAACTTGATGATAAAAGTTATAAACCCCTACAGCTAACATCATGCTTACTAGTGAAGGCTGGATGTTTTTCCATTAAGGTTGGGAACAAGACAAGGATGTTCACTCAAATCACCTTATTCAACATATTACTGAAAGTCCTAGCCAGAGCAATAGGTAAAGAAAAGGCAATAAAAGGACCACTGATTGAAAAGGGAGAAATAAAACTATCTCTATTTGCAAATGACCCGACAGTATATGTATGTAGAAAATCCCAAAGCATCTCAAAACCAAAAACATGCCTAGAACTAATAAGTGAGAGTTTAGCAAAGTCACAGCATACAAGATTAGCATCAAAATGCAATTGTATTTCTATATCCTAACACTGAACACACGGAAACTGAAACTAAAGGCAAAATAATATTTACAATTGCTCAAAAAAGAAGACATACTTAAATGTAAATCTAGCCAAACCCATACAGGTACTGTATGCTGAAAGCTATAAAACACTAATTAACAAAACCAAAGATCTGAATAAATGGAGAAACATGCCATGTTTATGCGTTGGCAGACTCAACAGAGTAAAAATATCAATTTTCTCTAAGTTTAACCCAATTCCTATGAAAATCCCAGCAAGATTTTTTTTCAGCTACAGACATGTTTATTCTAAAATGCACATGAAAGGGAACTAGAATAGCCATCACAATTTTGAAAAAGAATAAAGTGGGAGCACTTGCTCTACCTGATGCCAAGTCTCACTCTGAAGTTATCAGGGCACTGGGTGCTGGTGGAGAGACAAATACATAAATCAATGGAGCAGAGTAGAAACAGACCCACACATGCACAGTCAACTGATTTTTGGCAAAGGAGAAAATGTAGTTCAATGGGGTTAGGATAATCTTTTTTCTTTATTTTTTTTAAGATTTATTTTTTATTTATACAAGAGCCGGAGCACAGGCCAGATGCATGGGAGGGTGAGAGGATTCACCAGAGACAGAGGGGGGAGCAGAACAGGCAGATTGATGAAAGGCACTGCTGAGGGGAGCAGCGGGCGAGACAGGAGGGGTCTGCTTCCATGTGGGTCGCTCTGAGGCCGGCGGGGATCAAATTGGCACTGCAGAGGCTGCGGACAGCTCCACAGTGCTGCGCTCAACCTCCTGAGCCACCAGGGAGGCCCAGGTTAATCTTTTTAGGAAAATGTTCTGGAACAACTAGAAAGCCATAGGCAAATAACAAAACTCCAAGCTAAATCACACATCCTATATTAATATTGACTCAAATGGAGCACAGACCTAAAGGTAAAGTGTAAAACTTATAAACTTTTACAAGAAAATCTTTAGGACCTTGGGCTTGAAATGTCCTTAGACATGCCATCAAAAGCACAATCCACAAAAGAAAAAAAAATAACTTGTAATTCATTAAAATGAAAACTTCTGCTCTGACAAATTCTAAAAGGAATTTTTTAAAAAGCTACAGAACAGGGCCTCCCCGGTGGCGCAGCGGTTGAGCCCTGGGTTGCGAAGCTGCCCACGGCCTCTGCGGCGCCGGTTCGATCCCCGGCTGCTCCCCGGCCACCAGAGGAGGGTCCCACATGGCGCGCAGACCTCTCCTGCCGCCCGCTGCTCCCCTCAGTAGTGTACTTCGGTCCTTCTGCCTGCTCTGCTCCCCGCTCTGGCTCTGGTGAATTCTCTCACCCTCCCGCGCTTCTGACTGTACCCAGTGCTTGTATAAATAAATAAACAAATTAAAAAAAAAAAGCTACAGACCAGAGAAAATATTTGTAAGCCACTTATCTGACAAAAGACTACAATCCAGAATAACTATCAAAACTCAATTAAAAAACCCCAAACAATCCAATTAGAAAATGGACGTAAGACTTGAACATATTTCATCAAAGATAATGAATGGCACAGAGGTACATAAAGAGATGTTCAACATCATTAGCATGAGAGAAATGAAAATGAAGACTACAATGAGGGATCCCCACACACCTGTCAGAATAGCTGAAATGATAACAACATGAAATGCTGTCAGAGCGGTAGAGAAGCTGGATCTCACAAACACACGGTCATTTCCTAACCCCTTGCTATGTAGTTGCTGCAATGTTCTAAGTACGATTTATTATAGCAACATTTTCACAAGTCAATTATTACATAACATTATATTCATACATATACAGCGTTTGTGCTGCCCATGCTTTTAGCTCTGCATAGGACTGTTTTTTAATGGCTCAGTTTTTAAAAAGAAATATAAAATATCATGAGTCAACTCTTCTCAGTGGAAAATTATTTGATCCTGTATATGTTGGGGATCGAGGGAGGAACGGAAAAGGACTTATAACAAAGCATGAAAAACAAACATGATTTAAAAAGGCTCTCAATGTGCAGGGCATCTACTAGGTGACAGATAAATAGGAACAGGAAATAGTCACAGAGGTCACTGAATGCAAAGATTCTCAAGTGTGCTCAGGATAAAGCCCTTTTCTTGCTTTCATTCTGCTACACAGACCATAGATGGTACCATGCTATGTCACAAGTTTAAAGCCAAAAGTCTGTAAACTTTCTTCTTTGGGTTTCTATTCCCAAGAATGAATTGTTTTCCTTAATGCAAGTCTTGAGATTCATGCCAGGAATTTGAAATTCTAATCATCCCAAATTTTACAACATAAAACTGTCCCTAACACAAGCCTTCTTCAAAGGTGGTAAAGCACAGTGGTGAAGAGTGTGAACTCTGAACAAGACTGCCTGGGTTCAAGTGCCAACTTGTCCACTTAAAGCTTTGTGACCGTGGACAAGTTATTGCTCTGTGCCTCAGTTTCCCCAACTCTAAAATAAAGATGTTAGTTTGTAGCTCCCTTATAGGAAGGCTATAAGGATTATCGTAACATTATGTGTGGTGTCTCAAACAACACCTGTGGCATGGTTAGCTGGAACATGACTGTCACTGATAAGCTGTACTCAGCTCTTGTAGACCCACCTGGATGTGAGGCTAAGACACAAATAGTGCCGCTGGCTGGGCTCAAAGCCAGGAATCCCTGCCTACCATCCGTACAAAAGTCCTAGATTGGAAGGACAATTCTCTCAAATTCCAGTTTTCTCCCTGGCTCCAAAGATGACCACCTACCCTTTGTTTGTTTTCATTCCTCCCAGCTAGATTAGCCCTGCAACTGTTCATCCTCCACAGTCTACCTTCTTTGAAAAGTGAATATAAACTGAAAGCCAGCAGAGGAAGGAAAAAAACATTGCCACCTTGTGGCTTTCCAGAGAATTCTTCCTCACATCTATGTAAGGCACGACCAAGAGTCTTCTGGTTCCTGTTATGTATGCCCTAGGCAGACCTGAAATCCAGGCAGAGGGTGAGAGCACCTCCAATAGTGTAGAATGCACCCTCAGATTTTAAGAGACCTGGAAAAATCTGACAAGAGCACCTTCATTTTAACACGGAGAGAAACAGGCCCAAAATATGAGGGGCCTGTCTTAAACCAGAGCCAGAGACAGGCTGTGGGCCTCTTGACTCCCCTCCACAACTCTGGTCAGTGGCCCTCCATCGTGACACAGCTGCAAAACCAAAGGCAGGGGATATCCGTGGTGCTGCAACAAACAAGGGTTATGCAGGAAGCATCACGTCTCCTGTGCACGCCAACAAGAAGAGACACAGCATATGGTTTCCTCCTAGAACAGAACTCTAATTGCCTCTTTTTATTTCTGGCCAACGAATTATTTTAAAGCCCTTAGGTGTGACATTGACACAGTTATGACACTGCCGACAGTTATGTCTATTCTCTCTCCTATAGGTTTAAGACTTTTGAATTCTTGATCTAATGTCACTGCTCTTGTAGAGTTGAGGTGTTTCTAATTCCTCATGTTTTTATATCAACAAAAATGTAAATGACAATTTTTTTCTCCCAGAAAATTCTATATACTGAATCATTTTTATTGTTAATCCCTCTCCCCAAACAAACAAAAGACTGTAGAAAACCTTCCACACACTAAGCTCTAGCACACCCTGTGTGGGACAGTGACACGGTTAGACACAAAGTTGGCTTTGGTTTCAAACCGACCTTATGTTAAGCCACGACAACATGGGAGTCGTGCCTCCACCAATGATCCAGACGGTGAAGAAGACGATGAGGAGGGTGGTGGTGAACATCATCTGGCGCGCATAGGATGCCGTATCCCGGATGGCCAGTGCAAAGGCCATTGCTCCGCGGAGGCCTGCAGTGACCAAAAGGGGAGATCTCCCCGTTATAAGGACAAGTGACAGCATGTCCTCCAATCCACTGCTACACTCAGGGATCATGAACTGCACCCACTTATGCTCTGAGGGAGAAGTGGTTTTATTCAGAATGATGAAGCTTAAAGGAATATGATTTCCTTCTCTTTGAAACCTTCTTTTTAAAAATGCCAAATGCACTGAGAAACACTCACCACTACTTTCTAGAGCACATTTTACAGTAAAAACATTCTTTTATTGTGGAAACATTTCTCCTGATAGTAACATGAAATAAACTAAAATAGAAAGGAAAAAAAAGAAATTTAAAGAAGAAATAATATAAGCTAAGTTTGTGATTCAAACACTACAATCATTATAAACTTAAGAAACAAGCGAGGGATGAGTGTGACATGCATGTCTGTGTTGGTGTACCATGACCACAAAACAGTTCACCATTTCCTTAGCAGAAGGGAGAGCTGTACTGAGAAGTAACAATATTATCTGATCTACAGTAGGGGTTAGCAACTTTTTTCTGTAAAGGGCCAGGTATTACATATTTTAGATTTTGTGGGCCAAGAGCCAAAGTCAACATTATTATATAGGCACTAATAGAAAAGAGAAAAATAAAACAAATGAACTAAATGAAACAAAAATAAAGAGAAAAAAGAAGAAAAACCAAATCATCATTGACAAAACCCAAGAGTAACATAACCGAGGACCGTTGTTGTGATACCGGTCTACTAATAAAAAGAATGTAATTCTGGGAGGGGAGGGAGGGTATCTCACTTACTTAGGTTTCAGAGCAGCGTCCCCTGATTGTAAATATTCACCTATAAAAGCCACTCTTAGCCCCCGAGGTATATGAAAACAGGCAGCAGCAGATTGGGCCCAGGGGCTGTAGCTGGCAGACCCCTCATCTGCATTAATGGCTGTTATGAGTAAGCATCCACATTTTAATGTTTTACAGTTTATCTTTTAATCTCTTTTGTGGTTTCCTCATACCACGCTCATGATCTGTTCTATAGTAAAGACTGATGCCATGGCCTTTAGTATATACTTAGTATAAACTCCTATTTCCTGTGAGTACAATTGTATTATATGAGGGAATGAAAAGTTACAGCCCCTGTTTGGACATTTTCCCACCTTCCCAATAATTTTGCAATTTCATTAATCTAATAGGTTCATTACAATTCATTAGAGAAGAGTGACTCAATAAATGTCAAACAGCAAAGTTACTGGTTTCTGTTCATCTGTCCTACTGAAGTATTTACACGCACCTACATCACCCTCTGGCTGGCTGTCATCGATCAGCACTTAAGCCTTTAAAGGGATGTTGTCTCAAAGAAGAGGACTTTGGGGTAAGAGAGGGATATGTGTGGTCTAGTCTTCTTTATTTTATCAGGCAAACATTGTAAGCAGTATGAAAGTGTGACCTCTGGTATTTCTCCCAACTGAAAATAATTTTTATAAGCAGTATCTTTAAACAGACTTTCAGTCTTTTAGGGCAGAAGATAATGAAAATAGTTTATCTAGGTGACAGAGCATCGCTAATTTGTCTTTTTTCTACCAGCATCTTCCTAATGAGTAAGGGGATCACGTCACTGGCCTCCTCAGAAACATCTGATGTTTTCCAGCTGCTCTTTGAGTAAGTAAGGCCCAAACTCTTAGGCTCAGCATTAGAGCTTCTCCATGGACTAGACTCTTCAGCAGTGGTTCTCAGTGTGTGGTTCTCAAACCACTAGCAGAATCATCAGTAGCTGAGAACATACCAGAAATGCAAGTCCTCCCTCCCCCTTTCCTCAGAATCACACGCAGCAGTGGGGCCCCACAATCCACTCTAACCAGCCCACTCATGACTCTGATAGAGCCTAAAGGGTCACACCAGTTCAGAGGAATTTCCCTTTCCGACCATACCCTCTTCTTGCATTATTCCAGGCTGCTTTCCTTCCCAGAGAAAGGCACACACAACAGCACTTTCCTCCCTCTCCAGGCTGCTGCCTCCTCAAGTTCCATTTCTTTACAGCCTAGTTCGAGGGCTGTGCTCCATGTGGGGATGGCCCCTGGTTCTCCTCCATGTTTATTCCAAACCTCTTTTTGTGCACTTCACCACCCTCTCTCCAGAGAATGTTAGCTCTTAGTGCACCTGTCTCCGTCCAGGGGACTGTGAGCTCCTTGAAGGAAGCTGGTCTCTGTATCCTCTACAACCTAGAACTGAGGCTTATAAAGAGAGGACTCTGGGCACAGCAGAGTGGAGGGAAAGCACTCCAGCAGGCTGCACGGTTAAGCGCAGATGCAAACAAGTACTAGGCAAAGGGACTGCTTTGTGGGGAAGTGTCTGTTGGTGTGATTTCAGTATGACTCTCTGAGGCCCCTAAAAACGTGTGGCAGAAAAGGGCAGCTACTCACTCTGCCTCTTGTACAGACCTGCCCTGTCCCCCACAAAGGACAGGGGTCACAGTGGCTTTTTGCACGCCCCCCTCCCGCCCCGCTCTGCAGAGGTACTCTCACTTGGGTCTTGTCTACTGCTCACCACTCTCACTGCACCATCAGGAGGAGGTTGCTACTCAAGACAATTGTTTCCTTTATTTCCACATAATTCTTCATTGTCCTTTGTCCCCTCAGTGGCTTCTCCATACTTCTCAGCTTTATAGCGAAGAGGAGGCATCAGGGAGACAGTGCAAATCAAGCACAACTACCACAGTTGATGGCTTCTGGGGTTGAGGTTCACCTTTCTTATGTGAGTATATTTTATTTATTTTGCCAGGAGTTAGAGTTAGGGGGGGTGTTCAACTAATAAGTTCAATGTTATTATTTTACAAAAGAGAACACTGCAGCTGGGAGGTGTTGAGTGACTTAGCCGATGTTATTTCTCACAAAAGACCTATTTTCCTTCTAATTTTAGATCTGGAAGATAAAGGGTTGTGAACATTTACTAGAAGACAACCAAGCACTTCAAATACTTACAAGGCTCCAGGTTCCCAGTTTGGTAGAGATGAAATAAAGATGCAAATATTTTACAGACAAATGTTCGAATTTTTGCAGACACTTGAACTGTCTTTTTACCAACCTTATTGATTATATTTTAATCATAATGCCTACTGAATACAATTCATTTTCTTTACATTTATACTTTTTTACCTGAAAACATCATCATGTGTTGAAAATTCCAGCCAATCTTATGCCTCCTGCCCAAGTTGAGGAAGAAGGAGAGCGGGTAGATATGCGCAGCTCTGCCCAGGAAGATGGCGACCTGACCACCAGGGGAGGTTAAGGGCACAACTGGTTTCCAGAATAGCACCTTCACACAGCCTCTGGTTCACCAGAGACTTTTACGAATGCTGTGAGATCTCATTTTGACCAAGACAGCTGCACACAGAAGAAGCTGTCTAACTTCCCTCTGAACAAGTCTCAGCACCAAATGGCATTCAGTTGGCCAACATTCCCAACTCCTGGCTCCCACAGAATTCCTAATGGTTAAGTGCACTGTTGTCATATCTGAATTTAACTAAACCGGCATGACCACCTCTCCCACTGAGCTAAAAATGAGTCTAGAATAAGAGACGGTATCATGCAGGGGGTAGGGAGTTGAAAGAAGCAAATAGTGTGCTGGGCTCAATGGGAAGAAAAGGTACAAGAAGAAAAAATGACTAACCCTCGACTCAAACTATAAAGTCTGCTGGGTAAGAACGTATAGGCTTCAGTTGGAGTAAACATTAGGGGCTCAAATGACCAGGAAGATCCTACAAATAAGAGGTAGGGAAACTTGACACTAAGCCACATTCATAGGCCACACAAGACTCAATGTGGGGAAATTTCTCTTCCTTCAGTGGCTAAAATGTCTTGAGGAGATGCAAGAAATATAAAAGGAGGAGTGTGGAAGAGGAACTCCACTGTGGAAACTGAAGAATTCAGGGAAACCAGTCACTCGTCATTGCTGAGTTTAGAACAGAGCCCAACAGAGAGATGCGCACTGCCCTGGTCACAGAAGGAAACTACCGTGGGAGCCAGAGGAACAGGGTGCTTCCGTTTAGGCAAAGCACCAGCTGCCGGATCTGCAGCTGTTTTCAGACAGAAGCGAGGGCGGAACTATCTTGTGCCTTCTCCAGGGCGAAGTACTGACTATTTTTCTTCTTATTTTTTTACCTTCCTTTTTTTGTTTTGTTTTGAACAGAAGGAAACAGGTAGTACTTGTAAAGCACAGTCTATTCCAGAAGCCAGGCAGAGGCCCTCGAGTAGTGGGCAGCGTCCAGGATTCACAGAGTGGGGCAGGGCCCTCATCTGTAAACAAGGGCTGAGTTCTCACTATCTCTCACAGGATGCTGTGCTAGGAATGCAAATCAAAATGACACGCAGGCGCTTTCTTAATCAAGAATACAAACACTGAACCCATAGATTTTTAGCTGTTAGTCTGTTGAGTGTATAAATTCAGGAAATGGGCCCCAGTTGAGGCAGGTAACTGGAAGGAATTCTGGCATGGCACAAGGCCACCATCATTATCTAGTGCCTTGGTGATGATGGATTTATTCCTACTCCTTTTTGCCAGCATCCTAAGACCTAAGGGTATCTGTGAAGCCTCAGAAAAGGCAGAAGTGAATGCCCAGCAACAGAGGATTCAGTTCTTTGATATCCAGGCAGAGCTGGGTCGCAATGGTTCCATGCCCCAGAAAAGTTCACTTTAACAAAAACAGTAGGATCTGAAGTCAAGTGAGCAAAACCCTCTGCTGTCAATCCACTGCTGGACATTCACATCCTTCCTCTCTTGAGAGAAGCCGCCCACCCAAATAGCATTTCCCTTCCAAAAACTGCACTCCCCATGGGACCAAATCAAGAAACCAAGTATTTCTCCTTTCTCATTTTATTTGTCCTTCCTCTCCTTTTTTTGAGGGGGGAGGGGACTCTTCTCCACACATGATCTGCAGCAGCTGAGAAGGTAGGGTGAAAGGAAGTGTGCTCCCTGCCTGCAGGCTTCTCTGAGTGGCACAAGGCAGGGCTCCCTGCATAGAGTGTGTGGTCAAGAGCACAAATGGTACAACCTTCAATTCTTCCAAATTGGGACTCCTGGGTTGTAATTCATACAATGAAATAAAAATAATTCTGGTGACTGATATCGTTGATGACATTTAGATCTGCTAAGAAGGGTTCTTTAGAAAACAAACACCACCTGCTAAGCACCAAGTGAAACAGAAAGACCATCTTACACAGAAAATGCAGAAAGGACAACCTTAGAATCAGTGCCAATTCTTTGCAAATCAAATTCATTAGCTGTATGAACCACTTATGGCTTCTTTTTCTCGTCATAAAAATACCATCAACCTGGGCTGGCTGGTTACCCACCCAACACAGAACTTCTTATTCTTAGAGCTTCCCCAGAAGTGGTAGCTTTCCATGTAGAAAATGGTGGCATCAAAAAAAAAAAAAAAAAGGATACAAAAGCTCCAATAATGAAAACAGGGCTGAAAACATGCTTCTGGAAGGTAAACAGTGCCAGGCCCATATAGGAGAAGATGAAGTTCTCAGCCAGGAAGTGTAGCACCTCAAAAAGCTGCATGGAAAGGGAAAAGGAAGACATGAAACTTGTGGGTGTCCAACTTTGTATTAACAGGTAACTTGTGAGGACTAAGGGTTTTCTCTCACCTGCTTGGTTCGACTTCTCGATTCCACTGACAGATTGTTGTAGGTGTAATGAGCTTGTGTGATTCCACAGAAAAGGACAGCTACAACACCTGGCAAGAGATTTTTAAAAGTCAATGGAGAACAAAGAAGCAGGGGAAAAAGACCTGATAAAACAAAATTAAGGTAGGCAAGCCCAGCACATCCAACCTCCTGGAAGTTTCCTATTACGAAAAGCTCCAACTGTCCCCATGACCCCTGCCTTCCTTTCCTTCAATCCTGCACTTGTTCCAGGCCAAGATCCCCTATGGTCCCCATTTTCCACTTTTAAGGGTGCTCTCTCCCTAACCCCCCTAAATTCCGACTGAATTTATCATTTGTATTTTTCCTTTAGCACTCAATCCCTCATAGACTGTGAGGGCCTGTCAAACGCTTTTGTCATATTCCTCTCATTTCTTTGAATGCGTGGATTTAATTTCAAACCAATGTTTTTTACATGGTTTAGGGCTCCAGACAAAATGGATCCTGAGTACTAACTATTCTACTTCTCCAAGCCCTGGTGATCTAGATTGCTGGTTAATGGTAACCACAGCAGACAGACCTGGAGCATTTTATAATGCTACATATAAAGATATGTTGCTATATTCTAAAAAGATGATAAAAAGACTTCCTAACCACCCAGGTTATATAGAGTAGTTGTATTTGAGTTTTCTAATGGAAACATTCAGTCATTTGGGTTTTTTTCTTACTGAGAGAATGTGAGCAACAAAAACCACGATTACTCACACCAATATTGCATGAAATTGTCACCATAAAAGCACAGTAGTGAAAAACAATGATTAAACAGACCAGGACAAGTCAAGGAAAAACTGGGTTCACATCCATGTGAGCAGATGTAAAATTACCTTTAAAAGGGTATATATATTGTTTGTTAATGCTACTGTTTGCAGGAGATATTTTAATCTATTCAGTAACTTTTGTAGTTAAACATCTACATTGTGAGAATGAGCACGCATAGATACAACTGAGTTTGAAACAATAAGACTTTATCCTACATAAACATGCAGCTTTGGGAAACTAGATTATTCATAAGGCTGCAGCTTTGCTCAGAAGGCCTCCTGTGGAAACTTCGTGGGTAGTTGATTGACTCTGCGCAGCTGCTAGTTGAGAATTTGTTCCTCCCCTCGAGCTCTCACATGGGCCGGCCACATTCAGGGCGGCCCAACAGCAGAGAAAACCCACCTGTAAACCCACAGGCTTCCGCCAAGAGGAAGGTGCTCCAGGACATGAGGAAGAAGAGTGCTGTCTCCAGCAGGGGGAAGCAGTGCAGCTTGGTGAACTTGGTCACGTCGGCCCCTGTCAAGGAACTGTCTCCAGGAACAAGTACCAACATCACGGAGAAGCACACTCTTTCAGTCCGGCCCCCCCTTCCTCAGGGCTATCTTTTCTCTTTAACTCTTCTTTTGGGCCCCAAACTTTTTCCCTTTTTTTAAGTAATAAAAATTTAGCTTTCCAGTGGGACAGAGGTACCAGGGACTGGGGGGTGGGGTGGGGGAAGAAGGATATTGTTTAGTGGCTACATAGTCACTGGGATGATAAAGAAGTTCTGGAAATAAAGTGGGGATGGGGACATATCACCATAAATGTATTTAATGCTACTGAGCTATACACTTAAAAATGTTTAAAATGGAAAATTTTATTATATCTATTTTACAAGTTAAAAAATTAACAACATGATTGATATACTTAAAAGATGGGTGAATTTCATGATATGTGAATTTTACCTCAATAAAGCTCTTTTTAAAAATCAAGCTTTCTAAAGAACTGGAAGCTGGCTTTCTGTGGTTCTTGCAATGCCCCTGGTTGTGAGGCAAAGTCTTGGCCTACAGGCATGACTGAGAGGTGAGTACCAGGGTGCTGCAGTGCCTTAGGCAGGCCTGGGAAGACAAGGTGGGGCGGGGGAGGCACAGCTACAAGTTGCTCAGGTCACCTTTTGGGAGCAGCAATTCCCTTCTAACGCTGCTATTCCCTGTGAGGCTATCATGGAACCGTCTAAGGAGTCGGTTCACTGGGCACTCTGACTCCACAGGGCGTCAAAAACAACTCCATGAAGAAAGCAGCCTAAATCCGGACTGTTCAATTGAGCAGCAACAAGCCACGGTGGCTAGTCTGAATTGAGATGTGCTATAGGAGCAAATGCATACTATACTTGAAAGACTTAATGTAAAACTCAACTGTAAAAAATCTCAATAATTAGTATAATGTTTTGTTAAGAATGTTCTATTGATTTCAGGCTGAAATGACATAGCTTGCACTTGCAGCTTCTGTTGTGTTTGTACTAGACAGTGGTGATCTAAATGCTCCTAAAAGAATATATGATGAGGGCCTCCCCGGTGGTGCAGTGGTTGAGCGCTGGGTTGCGAAGCTGCCCGCAGCCTCTGCGGCGCCAGTTCGATCCCCGGCTGCTCCCCGGCCACCAGCGGAGGGTCCCACATGGCGCGCAGACCTCTCCTGCCGCCCGCTGCTCCCCTCAGCAGTGTACTTCGGTCCTTCTGCCTGCTCTGCTCCCCGCTCTGGCTCTGGTGAATTCTCTCACCCTCCCATGCTTCTGACTGTACCCAATGCTTGTATAAATAAATAAATAAATAAATCTTTAAAAACAAAACAACAAAAAAAAACTTGTTTAAAAAAAAAAAGAATATATGATAAGGTGTTGCCTGCTCCTTCCACACTGTGCTTAAGTGCTTGTTTGCTTGTTTCTAACTAAGCATTATGCAGTCCGTTGCCTAAAGGCCACTCTGCCATAATTCCCATGGATGACCCTGATTACTTATGGCTACTGTAGCCTGTATGGCCCTGAGCAGCTGGCAGCAGCAGCAAGCTTGGGCCTAAAGTACCTCCCACACTGCTTCCTCCTGACCTCCTGTGAGGTAGTCCCTGCTTCCCAGTCCCCTCCCAGCTTGTCACTGAGTCCTACCTCCCTAAAAGGGAGTCTTCCCCAAACTCCCATCTTCAGCTGGTTTATAAGGAGCTAGAGAAACTGCAAAGGGGAGGACAGAATTTAGCCTAGAGTTACATCCCCAAATATCTTCTCAGACGCTAGGCTAGGAACCTGTCATGTTCACTAATGGGATTTATTTCAGCAGCCCCCCACCCCACTCTCCAGTGGAATAATCAATTTAAGATGCCGATGGGAAAGAACTGAGAATTTTCCTTTTGTACATATAAAGGCACATAATCATACCCAAGCAAGGGCAACAACTATAAAAAGGATATTAGAGCTGTCACAACACCAGTCACAGCTCCCATGGTAAAAGAGCCACTAAAAATACCAAGAAAAATGCCAACTGACTTAAAAAAGGCAGCAGCATCAAAGGCGTGTGTGTTCAGCCCTGCTGGCTGGTAGGCGACAATAGACCTGGAGTTTAAAAAGAAACAGAGTTTTTAAAGACTGTACTGGTTTTATCCCATGGTACCTAAAAGTATTGCCAAGCACAGGTATCTAAGCCTGCTGAGCTTCCCCATGCTGATTTACTCTACAGTCCCCTCGGTATACTGCCACCCGTGCTCTGATCGCTCCCGACTAGACAGAGCAACATAAGTCGATCAACAAAGTTGATAAACCTCATTTATAAAAACATGCAATTCAATATTTAACAATTTAAAAACAGCCTCTGAATTTAGTCTGGCATTGAGGAAGCTGGAGTCTCTTTTCCCAGACAGAAATGTACTTACGAGGACAGCACAATAGCAACGGCATCATTTAGGACACTTTCTCCAAAGAGAAGTGCATACAGGTCCACATCTGCATGCAACTCATTAAATATCGCCAGCACAGTCACTGAAAAGTGGGACAGAAGCATGTAAAATTAGTTTTTGAGTTTCTGACCTTAAGCCACTGATAACACATTTATGGAAGCAATTCCTGTCTTCAATGGAACCAAGCAGCTTGGGAGACACTGAGAGTCAAGGAAGGATTGTCCGTGTATGGCAGCAATGAAAATGGCAATCTCCCTACTCTGAACGAGGTGTCATGACACTTGCTTGTAACAGCACTGCAGCAAAACACTGCACTGACCACTGTCATCTCCCCTTCACACTGACAATACTGCTATTACAGAACTTAAAAAGAACCACAATTAGGGCCTTCCCGGTGGCGCAGCGGTTGAGTGCTGGGTTGCGAAGCTGCCTGCAGCCTCTGCAGCGCCAGTTCGATCCCCGGCCACTGGGCAAGGGTCCCACATGGCGCGCAGACCTCTCCTGCCGCCCGCTGCTCCCCTCAGCAGTGTACTTCGGTCCTTCTGCCTGCTCTGCTCCCCGCTCTGGCTCTGGTGAATTCTCTCACCCTCCCGCGCTTCTGACTGTACCCAGTGCATGTATAAATAAATAAATAAATAAATAAATAAATAAATAAATCTTTAAAAAAAAAAAAAGAATCACAATTTGTGTGTCTCGCTCATACTCTTTGAAGGTAGAAATCCAATTTTGTTGACCACTGTGCTCCCAGAAACCAGCACAGGGTCAGGGCATGCAGGTTATAATAAATAACAATAACTGTGAAATGGAGGGAGTCTTCATTTATGACAGACTGTACGAGATGACACTTTGCTCAGAGTATACATGATGTACATGACAACACTTTGCTCAGTTTTGGGGTTATTGCTATCAATATTGACTGTATTAAGTGAAACAGAAGAAATATATATTCATTTAAAAGTATTAATAAACCCATTATGTTAACCTATTTTAATGAAAAATATATTTCCAAAACAAACAAAAATTAGTGAGAAGAGATTCCTTGCTTTACAGTTTTTCAAATCTCTTTTAACGCCTGGATTAAAGGAAGACATGGGTCTTACAGCTGTTTCTGTATTCGATCAACAGATAAGTCAATATCACATGCTACACAGACTCTGGAAAACTCCACTGTGCTGTACACTGTGAGAGAATGAAAGTAAAAAATAACAAATCATTTATTAATACTATTACTAAATCAGTTTTGACCACACAGATCCCCTAAAAGGGTTTTGGAATTTCTCACCTTAGGCTCTACTGACATTTTGGCCCAGGTAATTCTTTGTTGTAGGGTGTTCTGTGCCTTGTGGGGTGTTGAGCAGCATCCCTGGCTTCTACCCACAAGTTACCAGTAGCACTGCATCTCCCCCTCTAACGTCTCCAGGACATAGCCAGATGTCTTCTGGGTGGGGGCAAAATCACCCCCACTTAAGAACCACTTTCTCCCTCTCTCTCCCTCCTCCCCCCCAACCCCCGTTTCTCTCAACCCCCATCCCTCTCTTTATACATGCAGACAGCAGGGTACTCTCTTAACACTTCTTAATACTCACACCCGTACTTTGTTTACTTTCTACCATAAGGACTAAAAACTAAAAGCTCACTTTCCTAGCTTCCCTTGTGAGTACTACCCTCTTCCTGCCTGGAAGAAGGTGGAGAGATTGAATAAAGTGTAGCCATCTTGTGCGCATGGGACAAGTGTAGCCATCTTGTGCGCAAACCCAACTGCAGGGCAGTAGAAAGACTGATGCCTGACTGTGGTATGAGCTGGGGTACCAGCGTGGGGTCATTAGCCAAGATAAGCAGCTACTTGTTTAAGCTAGTATTAGCCAGCCTTTTCTGTTACTGCAGCCCAAAGCATTACTGACTCAATTAGAAAACTACACTAAACACTTAGCTTAGAGAGTTATTATAAGCCAACCAAGCACTCTTACAACCACCATCCAGTTAAAGGAATGGAACTTGGCCCCCAAAAGAAGTCTCTCTCCCTGCCCTGTTACATTCCATCCCAATCTCAAACCATTTCCTCTGCTCCAAAGTAACCACTAACCTTGTATAGTAAGCATTTCCATGCATTTCCTTATAGTTCTATCATCCACATATTTTCCCTGACATTACTGTTTGGTTCTTCCCATTTTAAAATTTATTCTTTAAGTACTTTTTTTACATCTCTCTTACTCCACGTACGTTCCTCCTCCATTCCTTTCTGTTGGCTCTCATGTCATAGTGTACCAGTGTTTAGTTCTTCCATTTCTGAATTTTCCAATACTGATGTATGTAGTTCTTTTATAACGTCTATCATTTTCTCAATTTCCTATAGCTTTTTTTGAAATATGAATACATTTTCATCTGCTTTTGGGTCTTCTATTTTTGGTATGACTTCCTTATCTGTACCTTTATTTTTCAGAGGGTTTATTCCAATTTTTTCATACAATGTTTTCCTGAAGTTCCACCTCAATCCATTTCTGTGGCTTTTATCAAGTAAGGTGAGTAGTGGGTACAAGACCCAGAAGAGCTGCCCTGGTTTCATGACTCTAGGGCTCCCTCTTCTGGTCTCACATTAAAGTATGAAAAATATGGCCTCAGAATGTAGCAACTTCTCCAACACATTTTGGATCCATTTCCTCTGATTTCCTCCTCTGTCAGTTTCGCTTTCTTTCTCCTTCAATGCCCTGTCAATCAGGGTCCATGATTCTAGTAGTTCATTCATAGGGAGTGGCTCTGTCCTTCCAGAGACCTCTTCACTGGGTCCTTTCTGAGAGCTTGGGTCACTCTGGCAGCCTAGGACCTCCTCCAGTATTCTTGTACTCACACAAATTAGTCTGCAGAGTTCCCTCCCAGTTTTAACTGTTATCATATTTGCCCACAAAGTTCTTTCCTTCCAGTGGAAGCCCTCATTCTGAGTGTGAATGCTGGTGGGAAATATCTGTGTTCCATGACAAAAGAATCAGCAAACAGCCCTCTTTTCTCCCATCTGCTTCATTCTGCATAGCTGCTCTTCAGATCTCTAAGTTTCTATGCTGTTGGTGGTTACCCTCCCCTGCCAGGCTGATATTTGGGGATTCCCAAGGATACTCTGTCAGCTAGTTTTGTCTCTGTGTTTTTTTGTCTTGTGCTGTCCAACTTTGAATTTTTTTTATTCATTATTATTTTTAAAATTTTATATTTTTTACATCATTTTTCATTTTTGCACAATGTATACATTTTCATCTTGGTTATAGTCCCCATACAATTCCCACCCCCCTTGTTTTGATCCTACTCCCTCCTTCCCCCCCCACCCTGTAGTGTGGAAACAAACCAAATACCCAAAAAAAGATGACTGGATCAAGAAGATGTGGTACATATACACAATGGAATATTACTCAGCATTCAAAAAAGATAAACACATGCAATTTGCAGCAACATGGATGGCGCTGGAAGGGATCATGCTCAGCGAAATAAGCCAGAAAGAAAAAGAAAAATACCAGATTGTCTCACTCATAGCAGGAATTTTGAATTTTTTTAAATTAGGAATTAAAGGAGATTCCAAAATAACACACCCCATCATCATTAAGAATAAGCAATAAATAATTTGGATTGAAAAATGTGGACTATATCATCAGCCTGCTTCAGGCAATTATAAATCTGGGTGCTAAAATCACTATTCTAAGCATTGGATGCTAGCTAGACAGCAACGGGTAGGGAATCACCAGCAACTATAGTTCCCAAAGGACACACCATCTTCATACACAGGATGTAATGTCAATTTCCTTCCTTCACCCATATGTACAGCTTATCAGGTTATATAACAGGAAAAAATCTTTAGGAATAAAGCTAAAAAAAGTGCTTATTTTCTGGATTGTTTATTTTTTAGATAATCACATGAACAATATTTGTGGGTCTTTATATAAAATTTGGTGGTTAACTTGACTGGGTCATAAGGTGCCTAGATATTTGGTTCAACATTATTCTGGTAAGTCTATGAGAGTATTTCTAGATGAGAATTACATGCGAATTAGTAGTCTGAGTAAAGTAGATTGCCCTCCCCAATGTGGGCAGACCTTATCCAACTTGTTGAAAATCTGATAACTAGAACAAAAAGGCTGAGTAAGAGGGAATTCACTCTCTCTGCTTCAGCATCTCTGACTTGGTACATATATCAGTTTCCCCCTGCCTTTGAACATGGACTGGAATTTATGCCATCAGCCCTTATGGTTCTCAGGCTGTGGAACTACAGATCTTTGGCTTTGTAGCACTCACAATCACATGAGCCAATTGCTTATAATCTCCATAATTGCACACTCTGTCTCCTTCTATTCCTTTTCCTCATTCCATATATATGGAATGTTCTGAAGAACCTTGATTAATACAAAACCTTTACTCTTAGTAGCTTGCCAATATATGACAGGAATGATCTTGTTTTAATTATGTTGAAGAAAAATTAACAATGATAATTAACAACAACAATAATTATTGAGGACTTACCATGAAGCAGGTACTATGCTAAATATTTTACAAACTCATTTAGTTCTCATAAAATCCTAGAAGGAAGGTAGTCCATTTCCCCTGAATTAAAGATGAACAAAACAGGCCCTGTGTGATGGGGTACTCTATGCTGAAGTATCAAAATTCCCAAAATGTCAGTAGCGGAATCCAAGAGAAGTTTTGCCCATTACTCATACAATAGACACATCCACTGGGTGTTGGCACCAGAGGCCTCTGTGCACATAAGTCACGTGGGGACTCAAGACTGGTAGAGGCTAATTTCAACAAAGAGAGCACAGGGCTGGCAGCCCAGGAGACATGGGTCTCAAAAACTTCATCAATCAGGGTCTTAGCAGGAAAGAGATGACACCCTCAAATTGAGCAATTTGAGCAGAGTTTAATACAAGGATTATTTCTTCAAGTGTGAGCAGAGTATGGAAAAACACAAAGTAGAGAGCAGTACTTGAGGTTGAAAATAGGGAGCTTTTATACAATCCCTAGACCCAAAAGACAGAGATGGAATGATTACCAGAACCAGGAGCTATGCAGGAAGGCTGCCATTCTACATCCCACATTCTTTTTACAAAGCAGGGTGCTTCAATCAGCTGGGTCCTCAATTTTCTTAGAGTGTTAATATTAAAATATGGGAGTAAAAGAGGCCATTGGTTTTGGAACACTGAGGTTCGTCAGAACCACACAACAGCCTAAAGCTGTGCAATCCACTGTGGTAGCCTTAGTTGCATGTGGCTATATAAATTTAAATTACATAACATAAAATAAAATGGAAAATTCAGTTCTTCTATTGCACTATCCTCCACGTGGTTACTGGCCACCTTAATGAAGCTGGCAGATTACAGAACCTTTCTATTACTGCAAAAAGGTCTATGGGATAACACTGATCTAGAGGAATCCTAGGAGGCACGGAGAAATGGAGGTGGGGTGGTTCTTAGTATCTCAGGTCATTAATGTTCAGAACATTAGAAAAGAAGGAATGAAACTATCATTATTGCAGATGGTATGTTAACATATGCAGAAAATCCTGAAAGTTACCAAAAAGCTACTAGAATAGATAAATATACTAAAGTGGCAAGCTGCAAAATTAACACATAAAAACCCATTGTATTTTTATATACAAATAATGAGAAGAAAACAAAATCAAGAAAATTTTTTTTTATAATTGCATCAAAAAGAACTAAATACCTAAGAATTAATAACTAAAGAGATAAAGGATTTATACAACAACAACAACAAAAAAAAACTATGAGACACAAAAGACAGAGAATAAGACATAAAGAGATGGACACATATTCCGTGTTCATGAATGAAGAGAATTAATCTTGTGAAAATGACTATTTTATCAAGAGCAATATATAGATTTAAAGCCCCATTAAAATCCCAATATTCTTCACAGAAATAGAACCAAAAAAATACTGCAATTTATAAGGAACCATAAAAAACCCCTGAACAGGTAAAGAAATCCTGAGGAAAAAGAAAAAAAATGGAAGCATCAACTAACCTAATTTTAAACTATATTATAAAGCAACAATAGTTAAAATAATATAGTATTAGAATAAAAACAGACAAAAGGATCAACATGATTGCAAGTCCAGAAATAATTCCACATAATATAAAAAAACAATGCTACACAAAACAGACAAAACCAAACTAAACAAACCCTTGAAATCTGACTGCAGAACTGAGGTAACCAGAAGGGGAGAGAAGGGAGTGAGCAAAATGGGGAGGGGCCAAATGGATTATAATGGAGGATTATTGGGGCTGTGTGGTGGGTGTGGTGTGATGACATACATCTGTAGAGGTGTGACCCTATAACCCTAAAGCATATACAGTGTTGTAAACCAACGTTATCTCAATAAACATAATAAATAAAGAGGTACAGAGGAGGGACACAAGGTTAGGTGTGTAAAAAAATAAGATTTTCTCATTTCATTTGCAAATCTTACTTCAAAATAAAAACCCGAGAAACTTAGAGAGAACTACAGTTAATGCTGCAGCATTAAGTGCAAGTATATTGATGTTTATTTTGAAGTGTATTAAAAAGTATGATGGATAGAATTATAGATGGATAGATATATGACAAACCAAATATAGTAAAATAATCTCAATAATACAATAATCTAGGTGGTGAGTACATGAGTTTATTATAAAAATCATTTACCTTTGCTAAGTGATTTTTCAGAATAAAAAGCTGGAAAAGAAACAAACAAAACCCCAAAGATATAGAAAGTAGAACGGGGGTTACCAGAGACTGGGGGAGGGAGAGTGGATGCTGCTGTTTAATATGGTCTACAGTTTCAATTGTGCAATATGAAAAAGTTCTGGAGATTGGCTGCATAACAGTGTGACCATATTTAATAATGCTGAAGTGTACACTTAAAAATTAAGATGGTAAATTTTACGTTCTTTTTATCACAATAAATACAGTAATAAAAAGGAAGGGGGAAGAAAGGGAAATACACACCCCTCTTAGAAAAGACATCTAAGTCTGTCAGACCACTTTCCAGTCTCTTCCTCTAGCTTTTCATGTTAATACTACAGCCTCCCTGCTGCGTCTAAAGCTAATGATTGTTTTGAATTTCTGAAGATTTAAATAACAGAATATCATAATATCAAGCCAAATATGCAAATACCTGGGTCAGTAGCAGAGATAATTGCTCCAAAAAAGAGACAATCTGTGTAGTAAAATTTATCTGAGAGCTGTCCCACAATCTTCATAAGCTTCACCACACCATACATGAGATTCCTACAGGAAGGGAAGGGAAAACATGTCAGAAGGAAAAGAAAATCCTCCTAATTGAGTAATCCAGCAAATAAGCGAGCAGAGTAGCACCGGCACAGTGTAGTTTAACAGGAAACTTGTGAAGATACCAGGTAGCTGTGGTGGCCGGACACTTACAGGAACATGTGCAAGTAGGACTTTGACATTCCATTTTGAAAAGTTGTGCTTACTAACAACTGTAAGTATGGTCCTCAATTAACAACAAAATGAAAGCATCTTAAGCAACTGAGTTATAGAGAAGAAAGGAAGACAAATAACCTTGCAAGAAATTGTTAGAAAACTCACGACATTGTTAGATAGTGCGTTTAAATTCATGGAAATAGGTGGACTGGGTGAAGTTGGGTAGAAAAAAATGGATTAGTCAAAAATATCCAAACGATCAAATTTCTCTGCCAAGAGTTACTTCAAAGACTGGAAGAAGGAAAACTCTCCAAACATCCTACTAAGACATCAGTGCACCTACTGACTTATTGGCGACTTGCTCTCTGTATGGGTCAGGCAGGTCAGCAAAAGTCCATCTCACCTCGTGCAGAATGTGACGTGGCCCAAAAGGGACCTCCAAGTTAAATATTTCAGTTTGGCCAGAACACATTTCCTACAGGACAGCTTATAAATTGGGAGAAATATGGGGTTTTAAAAGGCCTCAAACGTATTAATAAAGGTGCGTGTAGGAACGGGATGTGGTGGTAGTGCAGGGATTAGGTAACTAAAATAACCACAAAATAGACTCATTTGCACCCTACAGCCAACCCTGTGACAGTAAGATTCTTTTTTTTTCTTTTTTTTTTATATTCCCCATACAATTACAACCTCCTTATTTTGACCCCATTCCCTCCTTTCCCCACCCCCCACTCCCCATAGAGTGTCTCTGGTTCATAGTTGTTTGTTGATTTTTATATTTTCTTTCTTATAGTTATTCATTTTCCTGGTCCCTTATTTAAGTTTTCTAGATTCCTGCTATGAGTGAGACCATCCGGTATTTTTCTTTTTCTTTCTGGCTTATTTCACTGAGCATGATCCCTTCCAGCACCATCCATGTTGCTGCAAATTGCATGTGTTTATCTTTTTTGAATGCTGAGTAATATTCCATTGTGTATATGTACCACATCTTCTTGATCCAGTCATCTATTTTTGGGCATTTGGGTTGTTTCCAAAGCTTAGCTATTGTAAATAGTGCTGCTATAAACATAGGGGTGCAGGTGCTCTTTGGAATTGATGTTTCTGTGTGTGACAGTAAGATTCTTGATGGTAAGGACCATGCCATTGCTCACTTTTGTATCCTGAGCGCCGAGAATAGTAGAATGACTATGTTAGGGACTCAAGAAGTATTTGCAGAAATGAATCTTTGAGAATCAACAGTGATAACTTAATGCTTGCCTGCTGCATGCAGGATACTGTGCCAGCCACATAAAACAGCTCTATTTCAATTCACAATTACTCAGTGATACAGATTTGAGTTGTCCTTTGTTGCTTATGGAAGGCTGCTTTTATCTACCTTTTAAATACTTCCTCAAATAAGATCTTCCTCTGTTTCCTTTTATCACAAGCATTGACCTGACACGGACCTCTCTGGCGGCCTTTTCTCCCTCTCACCTCCCATAATACCAATGTCAGTTATCTAACCTGTCACTCGTCCATGGCTTGTCCCCATGAAAGGACGTCTAAGCACCCTCCTTTTTTTAGTGCCATAAAAAACCCTGGCTTTATCTCCAGTTTTCCAGCTATTTTTTAAAAAGAACTAAAATCTGCACTTTATTCAGATCCCCTTAGTCTTCACCTAATGTCCTCTTTCTGTCCCAGGACCCCGTACCACATTACTGCTAGTGGCCCTACCTCTCTCATCTCTTAGCTTTGATCGTTTCTTAGACTCTGCTTGTTTTTGATACCCTTGGCAGTTTGGAGTGCTGGTCAGGTGTTCTGTAGACTGACCCTCAATTGGGACTTATTTGGCTTTTTCTCTCAGGATTAGACTGAGGTAATGTGTTTTAAGGAAGAAGATCCAGAGGGAAAGTGCCATTCTAATAACAAATATCAAGGGCTATACGAGACTATAAACATGACTTACCACAGCTGGTGCTAATGTTGGTCACCTGGCTGAGGTAGTGTTTGTCTGGTTTCTCTACTCTAAAGTCACTTTCTCTCTCCTAGCCATACCTTGCCCTTTGAAAGGAAGTATACACACAGCCCCATGATCAAAGGGAAATGGAGAGTAAGCCCCACCTCGAGAGGGAGTGTGTCTATGGAAATTATTTGAAATTCTTCTGCAGAGATTTGTCATTTCTTCCCCACTTAGTTATTCATTCATTTCTTCATATTAATACAGACTCAGATATTACCAGTACATGTTACTAGTATTTTATACTTTGGGGGATGGCCCCATATAATGTTAATTATTTTGTTGTTCTTGGACCATGGGGGGAGCTTGTAGGTTGGCTCTGTGTCTACTGGACATGCTCCACATTCATTTATTTATTTGGTTCCTTCTTTTTTTAAAAGAACTTCCTGACTTTTGAGCACTACAAGATGCTCCACCCTCATCTTGTTATATCTGCTGTCCTGAATTTACGATCAGCTTTTTCTGCAAGAGGTACTGGTTCTTTTTTATTTATTTATTTATTTATGCATACAAGAGCTGGGGTACAGGCCAGAGATGCAGGGGGTGAGAGGATCCACCAGAGACAGAGTGGGGAACAGAACAGACTGACTGAAACACACTGCTGAGGGGAGCAGAGGGTGAGACAGGAGAGGTCTGCTTCGCCATGTGGGTTGCTCCCTGGCCGGCCAGGAATCGAACCCGTGCTGCAGAGGCTGCAGATTGCTTCATAGTGCGGTGCTTAACCCCTTGCGCCACCAGGGAGGCCCCGAGGTACTGGTTCTTTTTATCAGAGAGTATTAGAAATCAAAATTTCCTGACTATGTATAATCTTAATTATTCTTAATTTTAAACAGTCACATATGGCTAACAGCTACCATACTGCACAATGTAGTTGCAGAACTTGAACCCTGTCTCCACAAATATCAAAATACTGGACTTTGGCTGTTGCCAGAGGTTGGAGGAGGGATATGTTGGTCAAAGATTACCAATTTCCAGGTGTATATGAATGGGTTTGTTGGGGTCTAATGTCCACAGTGTGGTGATTATAGCTAATAATGCTGTGCCATATATTTGAAAGTTGCTAAGAGAACAGATATCAAATGTTCTCACCACGAAAAAGAGATGGAGGCAGTAGCTAATGCTATGGTGATAATCATTTTGTAGTATATAAATGTATCAAATCAACATGTTTTAGACGTTAAATTTACATGGTGTTATATGTCAATTTATATCCCATTACAGTTGAGAAAAAATATTAGACTCTGAACCCACACAGATCTCATCTTTTGGAAAGCAGTAGATTTTGCTAAAGGTCCAAGAGTCACTTACCCAATAATGAAGCAAGAAACAGCAGTTCCCAAGAAGGCATAGGCCAGAATGGACCCGAGGTTTCTGAAAAAATGTCTCTGGAAAAAAAAAGACAGGAATCACATGGTGACTTTTGACAGTGAGTGTAAGAAATGCACTAAAAGTCTCTAAAAAGTGAAGCTTTATTAACTTTTTAGCAGTTACTCCTGAATGAAGTTATTTAGCATTAAACATCATGTTTCTAAAACATTTTTGCCCTAATAATCACGGAACAAGCAAGGGCTCAGTAAATTTCAAAAGAAAAATTTATTCTGGCTGATTATGATGAGAGAGAGAGAGAGAGAGAGTGAGAGAGAGAGAGAGAGAGAGGAGAGAGAGATAAATGCATGAGAATGAGCGACTATAAGTAAACCCATCATTTTCATAAGATTTAACATAAACGATTTTATTCCATTGATTCAGCTAGTCACTTCCAGTTCTTTTGGTACTTTAGGAGATTATATATATATATATATAAATATATGACACTAATGAAGTATGAAAGTGCTATCTAAGGAGCTTTCTAGCTAATTCAATGTCAGAAAACAGTGTCCTAAAGATCTGCGGTGTCTCCTCATACTCATCTGGATTCATGTTTTGGAGCCTTGGAAAGAGAGAGATGTGGAGAAATGAGAAACAATTCTATTTAAGATAGGCGTGTGTGTGTGTGTGTGTGTGTGTGTGTGTGTGTGTGTTTGTATACTTATACCAATATAAATCTAGTAACTATTCAAAAAGAGGTGGCAAAACTGTAATCCTCTCAACGTTTCTGTACATTGGTAACCTTAGAAACACACACTCACACACACATGTGCGTGCGTCTTTAGGCTTACTAGATGTTCTAATGAGGAAAATCACTGTTCTTGGGATCCTGAGCCATGGTCCTTATTCTACAAGCATAAGCTGTTCTCATCTGACAATCAGAACTGTTAAACAAAAGCAGACAAACACAATCCCCCAAACACCCTAACTAAACAGGTACTGGGGATACTTTACCTAAAAGTTTAAAAAGGCAGGAGAGCCCTACCATGACAGCTGAGCAATATCAGGGAAAGACAGCCCAGCAAGGAGAACTTGGCCTGGATCACGTAGCCACTCTGACAAAGGGCTGTGGAACCCCCAGACCAGCATTCCAGACCTGTGCTGTGGCCTTCCCTGATGCCCTCACCTCTCTGGGGTTGTGAAGAAGGCGTCCAGGAATGCCTAGTGCCCTAAAGCCACCAGCACAGAAGAATCCTTCAAGGGCTTGCCATGCTGACAGTCACCAAATGAGGGTGCTGTTTGTACTATATAGATGTATCATGTTTGCCTCTTAATCAGTCATTGTCCCCAGTCTTTATTAAGCTAATGTATTTACATACCAATGACTTGAAAAAACTAGTTATACTGAAAAAAATCAACAACTGTGAGCCTTCTTGCCTTCCAGAGCTCTATGAGGGCTAAAATCAGAGCAGGCTAGGGGAGATCAGGGACAAGACATAGGGCCAATGAAATTCATGGGAGGTATCCAGGAATAAATTTTAATCCCAATGCACTTTCTTTTCAATTGTCTTTTAGAAAACCATTATGGTTAGCTTGAACGCACTCTGCAAATTCATATTCATGTTATTAGTCAAAGCAAAATAATAGGAATATAAATCTGCCACCAAAACTACATTCATAATATATTCTAAAGTTAAGTCCCTCCTTCCTTCACTCTCCACTCCCCCCCCCCCCCCCCCCGCCCTTTAAGCAAAACCAAAGGTAATGTTAATGATACTTTGTTCAAGTTAGAAAAAAGGCCCATCTACATGACAATTATGTATACACAAGTCAAAAGGGCCTGAATATTTCTGTCCACAGACCTGAAGTTAAATGGTCAAATTTTTATTACACATTTAACTGACAAGAGGTTTAATCACAAATGGTGGCCATGTAAGAAGCCACTATTTAAAATCCCTTTATAAGGGAAAGAGACTAAACTAATAGTTGATAATCTGAAAGACTAGCATTTCAAAAACAACTTAAATTAGTAACTAGCATAATCTGTCAGGTATGTTTTCTTCTGAGAACATGCAAGTGAGGAAGGGAAAGCTCTGCAAAGACAAAGCTGTTTTTCAACCACCAGAGTGGCTTTCACAACCAATGATGGCTTCATCTTCAAACGACTATGTATAACTTTGATTGTACCTTAAGATTAGTTACTTAAAATATCCATTCATCCCCCCATTTGATCTGAAGGGGAATTCTCTAATTCCCCACTTAAGGAATATTATTATTTAATGTCATAATGTAGATTATTTCAATTAAATAAACAGATAAGCAAGCAAGCTAATTACAAAAGAAAAAAGAGTAACATTATTTACAATCCCTAAAATCATGCAGTGGGGGCCTCCCCGGTGGCGCAGCGGTTGAGCGCTGGGTTGCGAAGCTGCCTGCAGCCTCTGTAGCGCTGGTTCGATCCCCAACTGCTCCCCGGCCACAGGAGGAGGGTCCCACATGGCGCGCAGACCTCTCCTGCCGCCTGCTGCTCCCCTCAGCAGTGTACTTCGGTCCTTCTGCCTGCTCTGCTCCCCACTCTGGCTCTGGTGAATTCTCTCACCCTCCCGCACTTCTGACTGTACCTAGTGCTTGTATAAATAAATAAAAATAAATCTTTAAAAAAAAATCATGCAGTGGGCCATACTCATACAATCATCCTATCTGTTACAAGTCAATAGCTGACATATAGGCTCAGATGACTTTGACAACCTCATGGATTAGTCACATAAAGGATACTTTTTTTTTTTTTAACAGAAAGCCTAACTCCAGAGGGAATGTAGCACAAAGCAACAACCCTGGGCCTTGGGGTCAGAGAGACAGGCCATCAGACAGGACCTTGACTCAGTCTCACACCACCTACTTAACCTCACACATGTCACTGAGTCATGCTGAGCTTGGCTCATCATCAGTAAGAGGCAGGGACACTCTGCATATCAGTGAGTGTACAAATGTGTGTTGGGCTGGTATGCAGAAGCACAGCTTCCTGCTCCTCACACATTCATCATGGAGAGAGGACTTATGTTCCATTCCTCCTCCCCCAAAGGTGATGTGGCAAGGATGGTCACTTGATCTCTGAAAGAAGAGACTGGCTTTACCCTGACTTGCAGTCTTTACCTTTCTGTAGCAGGTGGGGAATTGTTATTGTTTCTCTATCCTCCATGCTGTTAGCAAAGAGGCAGCCTTTGACAGGCCAAGAAATTTCCAGCCTCTCTCCATTTCGGCCTCCCTGCCTTTGACTGTGATCATTTTGGCAGTAAGGGCATCTGTCTTCAATTTATGAGCTAAGCAGTAAAGGAGTCCCAGTAAGAAGGGCTAAGCTGAATCATCCAATACATATTACCAGAGACTTTTGGTCATAAATCCATCATTCAATTACCAGTTAGCTCCTGGGTCCATTTATTCATCGATGAGTTGGACATCTGGGGGAAAAAGCTAACCTACCACCCTCACCTTCTTACAGAGTTTCTATGATGATGAGAAATAATGTATGTAAAAGAAGAAATAAAGACTATCTGTAAAGTTCCCAACACATATCAGATGCTCCATAAACTGTAACTGTATTTATGTTGGTTGGAAACAGTTTTAGAATCCTCTGAAAAATTAAAATACACAATTATTCTTTGACAGAGGAACCAACCCAAAGAGCAGGCGTCTTCTCATAAGATGAGCTAGGAAGTATGCCATCCTCTATGTTCTGAAAGGGTTGACGTAGGACTGGTATCATTTACTCCTTAAAGATCTGATAGAATTCATCAGTGAAGCCACTGGGACGCACAGAAAAGTTTTTAATTATAAACTTAATTTATTTCATTACTATAGGGCTGTTCAAGTTTTCGATCTCTTCACAAGTCACTTTTGGTCATTTGAATCTTTCATGGGTTGTAGAGATGCCTCCTCTTTCTTTCTGATATAGGCAATTTGTTTCTTTCCACTTTTTACTTCTTTATCGATGGATCTAAAGGTTTATCAATTTGGAAGGCATTGTGTAGTTCCTAAGGATGTTGTTGAGTTTTATTGGCAGCTAAGATCTCTCTTCTCTAGGCTCACAGAAAAAATTTCCTTTAGTCCCCATTTAGAAGGAGAGCTGAGGCAAACTCCTTGGCTGTTATCTGAGGAAAGATTTTTTGAGTCTAATTTTCACAGAATACTCCTACAAGAGGGGAAAAGGGAGCCACTCACACTATTTGTAAAGGTAATCGGTATTTTAAATGACTAGGGATGTAGGCCCAACCTTGCTGCCAAGCATAATGACCCTCAGTAAGAACAGATGTCTTTAACTTTTTATTTTGGAGTAATTATAGAATCAGAGAAGTTGCAAAGATAGTATAAGAGGTCCCATATAATTTTAAAGCCAGTTTCCTCCACTGGATCTATCTTACATGACTATAACAGAATATGAAAACCTGGGAAATATCAAAACTATAATATGGTATCAGAACCAGAACACATGCACAACATGTGCACAATTTTAGGTCATTTTATCACATGTAGAGATCCATGTCCCACTCCTGTAATCGAGACTCAGAACTCTTCCACAGCCATGAAGATCTCCCTCTCGCTATTCCTATGCAGTCACACCCACTCCCCTCTTACCCCTACCATCCCTAACCCCTGGTATCACTAATTTGTTCTCCATCCTAGCATTTTTTCTTCATTTCTAGAATGTTATATAAATGCAATCATACAGTAAGTGGCCTTTGCAGAGTGGATTATTTCCATTCAGTATAATGCCTCTGAGACCCTCCCAGGTTGCTGCATGTCCCTCTGCTTGCTCTGGCAGGCAACAGGACACCAACGGCCGTCACATTTCTCGCTGAGCACTCTTCCATGGTATGGATGCTCGCTTAACCATTCGCCTACTATAGGACAATTTGATTCTTTCTGGTTTGAGGCTATTATAAAAAAGTTGCCATGAGCAATCATACACAGGTTTTTACATGAATGTAAGTTTTCATTTCTCTGAGATAAATCCTCAGGAACAAAATTACTGGTCATATGGTAATTTCAACTTTAGTTTTATAGAAACTGCAAAACTTTTCCAGAGAGTGGCCACACAATTTTATATTCCCACAGGCACTGTATGAGAGTTCCAGATTTTAAAAACAGAAATGAATCACTGCTGATGAGTCAACTAAAGACTATGAGTGGGTGCAAAACACAGTAATAAGCAATCTGGGAGAAGGGAAAAAAACTACAAAATTATGTAGGTAAATTAACATAGATATTCCCACGCTTAAAAAAAAAACAGTCAAGAAAAAAAAAATATTGGCAAAAACCTCTTACCTTCTTTAAACTGTATCCAGCATGAAAAATAATTGGAGGTAACAGAATGTTGAAAAATACCTCTGGATCAAATGTTACCTAAAAGTTTAAAAAGAAAACGGTTTAACATCAATTGGTGCTATAATATTTTCTTAATATTTTAAGCCATTGACTAAAGTTTGAACATTTAAAGCAAATGGCATAATGTGAAAAACCGTAGAAGCATGACAGGAGAGGAGCCACGGTTCCTCAGTGAACTGGCATGTTTTTCTCCACACCGTGCTCTGACTTCTGCTCCAAGTATGTTGCTGACTACACATCAAGATGCAACAGGTCAGTGCAATTTTGAGAACTCAGGGAAAGTTTCTGATCAATGTTCTTATTTATTTTTTTACATATACTTTTGGCTCTTTTTTTTTTAAATAAATTTTATTTTTATATTCCCCATACAATTGCAACCCCCCATTCTGACCCCAATCCCTCCCCTCCCCTCCCCCCACCCCCCCCATAGTGTGTCTCTGGTTCATAGTTTTTTGTTGATTTTGATTTTCACTTTCTTATAGTTATTCATTTTCCTGGTCCCTTATTTAAGTTTTCTAGATTCCTGCTATGAGTGAGACCATCCGGTATTTTTCTTTTTCTTTCTGGCTTATTTCGCTGAGCATGATCCCTTCCAGCGCCATCCATGTTGCTGCAAATTGCATGTGTTTATCTTTTTTGAATGCTGAGTAATATTCCATGGTGTATATGGACCACATCTTCTTGATCCAGTCATCTAATTTTGGGCATTTGGGTTGTTTCCAAAGCTTAGCTATTGTAAACAGTGCTGCTATAAACATAGGGGTGCAGGTGCTCTTTGGAATTGATGTTTCCGTGTCCTTTTGGCTCTTTTTAATGCTGATCCAAGTTTTTAAATAAGAAATAAAAACACCTTGATGTTTATCAAATTTATGGCTCAACTGCAATGAAGGATGCAATTGTGATTCTTCATTAATTTTGTGGATCCCCTACAGAATCATTTACAAACATAATTCCACCAAATCCAAATCTCTTTTGAGTGACCGGTATTCTGTGATATGTGGTGTGATCAAGATCAAAGTCTCCAGTGATACTAGAGGCTTCCCTAGCATCAATATAAATTTAGCAGCTCTAACAAGACTGAATTACCTGTGGGCTTGATACTGGGAAATCATACTGAAAGTATTAGCAAAATCTTATCACATCCTGGGCCTCCCTGGTGGCACGGCAGGTTGAGCACCACACTGTGAAGCTGTCCGCAGCCTCTGCAGTGCGGGTTGGATCCCGGCAGGCGAGAATACCACATGGTGCGGCAGACCTCTCCTGTCGCACCCGCTGCTCCCTCAGCAGTGTATTTCTGTCCTCTGCCTATTCTGCTCCCTGCTCTGTCTCTGGTGAATCTTCTCACCCTCCCACACCCCAGTTCTTGTATAAAAAATAAAAATAAATCTTAAAAAAAAATTCTTATCACATCCAGACAAGTATTAGCATTGCATAAGCCTCCTAACCTTTTTTTTTTTTTTTGTTTTCATAAATAGGAAGCGACAGACCATGTCATTGCCCTCCTCCTTAACTCCTCTCCTCATGGATGTATGTGTGGTGGGGGAAGTTTCTGCTTCACACTGGGCAGGGGAATTGAATATTGATAGAATTTGCTGACAGTTTATAGATGAATGCTTCAGCACAGAACACAAAGGTCATGTTCACTCTAGATTCAGCAGGTTTGATTTGATTTGGCCATTTAATTATAAATATAATGTTTGCAAAAGTAAATTAACTGAATAAAAAGCTCTACTATAAGGAATCTATAAGCTATTTAATTTATTTATTTATTTATTTATTTATTTTTTAATAATAAATTTTATTTTTATATTCCCCATACAATTGCAGCCCCCCCATTCTGACCCCAATCCCTCCCCTCCCACCCCCGCCCCCCTAAAAGTGTCTCTGGTTCGTAGTTTTTTGTTGATTTTGATTTTCACTTTCTTATAGTTATTCGTTTTCCTGGTCCCTTATTTAAGTTTTCTAGATTCCTGCTATGAGTGAGACCATCCGGTATTTTTCTTTTTCTTTTTGGCTGGAGGAACCAGAGGAGAGCAGAGAAGCTCACCCAAGATGCCGGCCAGTCCCAACTACACAGTGTCCCAACGCATACGGCAAATTAGAAAACAGACAGTAGGGAGGAGAAGAACCACACGCAACCTAGCAACTCCCCAGGGAAAAAGCACACCACAAAAAGAAAAGCAGCCCCCAGATTGCAACGACAGTAACTTGGAAGAACTTCTGAGCCTTCCAGAAAGAGAATTTAAAATTGCCGTGATTAAAAAACTGACAGAAGTCATAAAGGAAAACAATGATAAGGGAAAAATAATCAACGATCAGAAGAATGCAATTGAGTCCCTAGAGAGGGAAAACAATGGTCAGAAGAATGAAATTGAGTCCCTAAAGAGGGAAGTAAAAGAAATGCAGGAGATCAAAGAATTAATGGAAGAACTAAAGAATTCTGGGAAAAGCAATGAAAGCAGAATAGATGAAATGGAAGAACGAATAAGTAATCTTGAAGACACAGAAATAAAAAGAACTAAAACAGAAAAGGAAAGAGAAGTACAAAGGAAAAAGAACGAAGAAAGACTTCGGGAACTATCTGACTCCATGAGGAAAGGAAATATAAGAGTTATAGGAATACCAGAAGGAGAGGAGAGAGATGTAGGAACAGAGAAAATATTCAAAGAGATAATTGAAGAGAACTTCCCAAATGTGAAGAAGGAGCTGAAAATTGATATACAAGAAGCAAGAAGAACACCAAACTTCCACGACGAAAGGAAAAATACAGCAAGACACATAATAGTAAAGCTCCCAAGAATCCAGGACAAGGAAAAAATAATGAAGCTGGCAAGAGGGAAGAAACAGGTAACATTCAAAGGAAAGCCAATCAGGCTGACATCAGACTTCTCCGAAGAAACACTACGGGCAAGGAGAGAATGGAGGGACATAGTCAACAGACTCCAAGAAAACAGATGCCAACCAAGAATTCTCTATCCCGCAAAGCTCTCCTTTCTCTTTGAAGAAAGAATATGGACCTTCCCAGACAAACAGAAACTCCGGAATTTCATTGCAACTAAACCCCCACTCCAAAAAAATACTACAAGGAGTCCTAAAGCCAGAACCTCAGAGGGACGAATAACAATGAAAGAAGGCCAAAAAAAAAAAAAGTTATTAAAAGAATAAATAAATAAAATCAAAGGAAAGACAAACACAATGGCAAATACAGATGCTAACATATCAATATTAACTCTAAATGTAAATGGACTAAACTCTTCAATAAAAAGACACAGAGTTGCAGCCTGGATTAAGAAACAAAACCCAACCTTTTGCTGTCTCCAGGAAACACATTTAGCTACAAAAGATAAAAATAGGCTCAAAGCTAAAGGATGGAAAACAATCCTACAAGCAAATGGACCAAAAAAGAAAGCAGGAACAGCTATACTTATATCAGATAAAACAGATTTCAAACTCAAAAAGATAAAAAGAGACCCCAATGGTCACTACATTATGATCAAGGGGACAATACTTCAAGAAGAAATAACACTCATTAACATATACTCACCAAACGAAGGAGCACCAAAATATATCAGACAACTGTTATCCTCCTAACCTTTTTAAAGAATTAATTTGTGTTGGTAGATTAATTGGCTTCTATTTCAATTATTCTAAATCTTTGGTGTTTTTAAAGTTAGTGCTTCTCTATAAAAACCAGGAATGTTAATCACCCTAATTAGAAGCAGACCAGTTTCTCAAATTATGTTTTATTCCATCTTCTTTCTGAAGAGTAGTCTGCCATGCAGGGAATGTTCCAATGAGAAGGGTGTTGGCCAATACCTACCCTGTATGAGGACACTGGGGCCAGAGGGAGTGTAACTTGTCAAAAGTCACCAAATCCAGTTAGTTCTGACCAGCACAAGTGTCCTGACACCTGCTCTACCACTCAATACTCTTTATGTTAACCAGGCTGCTTCAACTTGCCTCCTCACCCTTAACTCACAACAATCTCAGCCTTCTTTATTCTCTCTCCTTTGTTTTGTGAGGCAAAAGTTTAAACAGTGAGGATCTGAATAAACAGTTTTCTAAAGATAATAAAGTCAACTTCATCTATTATGATGTAAAATATGGAAATGGACTGGGATCTCCGCCCCCCCCCCACTGTATACAGTTTAAAGGACTCAAGGAACCATTTCAAAACAGCCATTAGTGTGGCCTTTAATTTCACAAATGTTTATGGAAAGCCCATGTATTCTTATGAAGAGATCAGAGCAAAGAGCTTACTAGCACAGCTGGGACACAGAGGATATGGGCATGTTTAATGCCCCAGTTTGACAATTTTCTTCAAAGATTAATTAGGGTAGATTCTGAAAATACCAATAATTTAATTTTTGGAGCACCATCTATACTCTGCCGTAGAGTGTAAGCCTTTCTACACATTAGCACCATGGTGTGTTAAAAGGGGTTCCACATAACCTGAATCTCCCAGAGCTTCCACACAAAGAAGCCTTCCTGCCATTAAGCCTGCGTCCACAGGGTGATAAGATGTATACGGATAGATACTGATGCCTTGCTTATCCTGGAAATCACTCAAGTAAGGAGATATAGAATCCTTTCTCCTGTGGAATAGTTTAGCTACCCACAAGATCAAATAAAAAGTAATGTTTGGACTGACTCGAACAACACTGAGAGTTCAAATTTGGTTCCTTCTTGTCATCATAGCCCACAAACTTGCTAGCAAAACTGAGAGCCATAAATGCTACCGATGTCCCGGAAGACTAAAAGGATTTCTTTCCACAAGGTCAAGACAGGACTGGAACATCAAAAACCATGTCAGGACAAGTGTGGCCCCAGCTCACCTTCCTCAGCATGTCATTCTGTTCCACACTGTTGATCTTGCCAGGGCTGATTTCTCCTTTCAAGGTATATTCAAAGAACTTCCCGCTGACATTCACTAACAAGGTGCTGAAGGCTCTGTCTTCCTGAGTGCAACTGAGTGACTTGTCATGGCCACTGGTGGCGGGGGTGCCGTACCTCAGGATCACACCGACGATGAGCCCTGAAAGAGAGTGGAAAAAACATCAGGCCTGTGGAAGGACAAACAGTGTGTGGAAATAATGACACAGTTGATTTGCAACAGCAAAGAAACTCCAAAGTAATCTAAGAGAACAGCCACAGTGTATGTATTTTAGGAGCAATTGCACCGCCCTATAAAGAGGTTAAGCATCTATCTATCCTGGTTTAAGTCGCTCAGGCAACTGAACAAGGTAGGGCAGTGCCTTTGGGAGTTATTATGGCACTTTTAACAACTGATCTCATGTCATTTCTCAGGCTTTTGGTGGAGAAAGAGGGGGAAGAAGCAAGGGTTTTCAAGCAAGGGCAGCACAAAACACAAGCTCCTTCATCTGTACCACCAGCAGCCTCAAGCCAGTCTTGCCACCATCTGCCTACAAACACCAGGCTGTGGGAATTTCTAGCTGCTAGGAATGCAACTAACTTTGCCACACAGCAGAGGGAGGAGGGGCGGAGGGGAGAATGCTTTGGCTTAGATCATTTCAAGCACTGGGTATCATGGAGAAAGTAATTACATCCCTTTAGGAGCTGAGCACCCTTGGTACAGTTTGTTTTTCTTTCCTTCCTTTCCCTTCCTTCCTTCCTTCCTTTCCTTCCTTCCTTCCTCTCCTTCCTTCCTCCTTCCTTCCTTCCTTCCCCTTCCTTCTTCCTTCCTTCCTTCCTTCCTTCCTTCCTTTCTTCCTTCCTCCTTCCTTCCTCTTCCTTCCTTCCTTTCCTTCCTTCCTTCCTTCCTTTCCTTCCTTCCTTCCTTCCTTTCCTTCCTTCCTTCTTCCTTCCTTCCTTCCTTCCCTTCCTTCCTCCTTCCTTCCTTCCTTTCCTTCCTTCCTTCCTTCCTTCCTTCTTCCTTCCTTCCTTCCTTCCTTCCTTCTCTTCCTTCCTTCCTTTCCTTCCTTCCTTCCTTCCTTCCTTTCTTTCTTTCTTTCTTTCTTTTTTTAAAGATTTATTTATTTATTTACTTATCCAAGCACTGGGTACAGTCAGAAGCCGGGAGGGTGAGAGAATTCACCAGAGCCAGAGCGGGGAGCAGAGCAGGCAGACTGACGAAACACACTGCTGAGGGGAGCAGTGGGCACGGCAGGAGAGGTCTGTCGTGCCATGTGGGACCCTCGCTGGTGGCTGGAGATCGAACCGGTGCTGCAGAGGCTGCGGGCAGCTTCGCAGCCCAGCTCTCAACTGCTGCGCCACCAGGGGAGGCCCTGGTACAGTTTTTCTTAATCATGAGTCAGGGATGGCAGAGCTGGCTTACTGGGGCTGTGGCTATGATACTCCTAAAATAATTAGCTACAAGTCTTTAAGTCTCATTCTGTTCTTAGTACAATTTTCCCTTTAGGAAAGAAACCCCAGCAAAATTGTGGATAACCCTTCAATTCCATGACTGGAGAGGAGTGCTGCTCCCCTGGTGCTGGACATGAGTCACACGTGCCCGAGGAAAAGCAAGTGAAATGTGCAAAGAACATAAATAACCACTGGACACTTCCTACAATTCTCTCTTTGGAGGAAAACTTTAGACTTGTCTAGATATTTGTTTTCTTGCTAATAACATTAAAAGACAGAATGTTGAAATGCGCCCTCATCTCATTTTACCATTTAATGTAGAAAGTGACATGAGAAAGAGAAAGAACATTTACTATATTCTATGTATAATGCTCTATAATGCCTCAACACCAAGACTTGTGAAACTCACAAAATGTTGAATAACAAATAATATATAAAATCTAGAAAAGTACAATTCTTTAAGTCAAAACTTGTCTGTATGCTTATTATGATCATTATAGAACCACATGAATAGATATTTGTAGTTTTCTGACTTTTGTGGAAAAATCAAGTTGTAAAATTTTATTACAATGTAAAAATGATGTTCTTAATCTCAAGTTGACCTTATAGGAAGCATTTTTTTCATTTTTAAAAAAAATGACTATCTTACTTTTATATCAGCATTTTACACTTCAGTATTTGTTTACATTGCCTACACATTTTGTACTGTTGCAGATACAATAGGTAGGTGCATAATTTTTATTTTTTCCATTTCTAAAGTGAAACAAATTACCTGATAATTATCATTTTAGTGACTACATAATGTTCCACTCAGTGACTTTTTTATGTTATAATCATTCAAATTTACCAATAGATGCAGGTATGTACTGAATACTTAAACTCACAATTTGTTTTTTCATGGAATTATTGCTATCTTTCCCATTTCAATATTAATTTTATTTTATTCTATTTCATTTTTTTCATTTTTGAGGCAACATTGGGATTTCATAGTCACTTTATCTTGTTAGGTGACTAACCAGGATGATGGCAGAAATGGTAAACCCCTACTTACTCAGTGGCTCCCTGCTTGGCCGTGGAGCAGACTTCCCAGTTTAGTCTCTGTCATCTATAGTTTTAGGGTTTTCTGTGAATCTTTTCTGGTAACTGAAATTGTAGGGCCACTTACATTGAAGTGGCTGCTGACCTTGGTCTCTTTGATTTTCCTGCTCCTCTTCATTACCATCTAAGGCGAGGAGAGGCCCTGGGGCATGTTGGTCTATAGCTCCCATAAATGGTCTGTCTCTCTGATCTACGTTCTTCTCCTGCACCCTGACTGCCAGAACTCTTCATCATTTCTCCCTGTACAGAAAGACTGGGATACTGTGGTTGATGCCCATAGGGTCTGTGTATGAAATGAGCCGTACACTGCTGGGCCTGGTCTTCAAGGGTGTGCTACAATCCCACTTCTTCCCCATTCTCTTTATCCTGCATATCTTGCTGGTGAGCAAATGGAGGACCCTCATAGCAGCAGTAATAGCTCTAATGATTACACCCTGCAGGTTATTTACTGCCTAGCACTGGAACACCACCAAAGCCTGCAATATTTGCTGCCTCCACATCCTTTTCTTCTTCAGTAACATCAAATTCTACCATTTCCCTTTCCCCTGTACTGTGGAGATGCTTCCTGGGGGCTATTTCTTTGTGACAGTCTGGTATACAAATAAATATTGTTTGATGTCATTCCTGTGACTGAAAACACATTTGTTTCTTACACTGAACCATTTTACTGTTCCCCTAACTTTCACCATGATGACCTTGTTGTCCTCACTGGTGGCCGCCAGTCTCCTGCCACTTTCTCTGCCTCTGCCCATGGAGTCACACTGAGTGGTGGCAGCATTGGGGGGCAGTAGGTGGGCTGTGTCTCATGGTTGTGGTGATGGGGATGGTGACTGAGGTCTTCACTCCTCCTTTGGTGTGATGGTGACAAGGCCTCCAGCAGCAGGAGGGAGGCTGAGGGCGCTCCAGGTTCATGCTCTGCTTCAGCTCAAACTCAGAATTGTTTTTTATTCTCATTTTATTCCGTAGTTAGGCAGTCAAACAAGTTAGTTAACTCGTTAGAAGTTAGCTTCTTCTAGCTAAAAAGAAACTTCTCTGAAGAGGAAATGCAAATGGCCAACAGGCATATGAAAAAATGTTCAGCATCACTTGTAATCAGGGAAATGCAAATCAAAACTACCATGAGATACCATCTTACACCAGTGAGAATGGCACATATTAAAAAAACTAGCAACAACAAATGTTGGCGAGGTTGTGGAGAAAAAGGAACTCTCCTGCACTGTTGGTAGGAGTGCAAACTGGTCCAACCACTATGGAGAGCTGTGTGGAGATTTCTGGACCTACTAAACATAGAGCTTCCATATGATCCAGCAATTCCACTCCTAGGTATTTACCCAAAGGACACAGAAACATCAATTCCAAAGAGCACCTGCACCCCTATGTTTATAGCAGCACTGTTTACAATAGCTAAGCTTTGGGAACAACCCAAATGCCCAAAAATAGATGACTGGATCAAGAAGATGTGGTACGTATACACCATGGAATATTACTCAGCATTCAAAAAAGATAAACACATGCAATTTGCAGCAACATGGATGGGCTGGAAGGGATCATGCTCAGCGAAAATAAGCCAGAAAGAAAAAGAAAAATACCGGACGGTCTCACTCATAGCAGGAATCTAGAAAACTTAAATAAGGGACCAGGAAAATGAATAACTGTAAGAAAGTGAAAATCAAAATCAACAAAAAACTATGAACCAGAGACACTCTATGGGGGGTGGGGGTGGGAGGGGAGGGATTGGGGTCAAAAAAGGGGATTGCAATTGTATGGGGAATATAAAAATAAATTTTATTTAAAAAATAAATAAAATTAAATTAAATGCAGAAAAAAATTTAAAAAATTAAAAAAAAGAAGTTAGCTTCTTCTAACAAGAAGCTAATTATTTTTGATGAAATGTTATACAAGAAAGGTAATTCAATGGTCCTTCAACATTTGTCCTATTATAGGATAATCTCTGGAGTCCTGAGGCTGCATGTGACATGATTTAAGTTGAATAGTTTTATTAGTAAACCAAAGTAAGTCATTTATAGAAGACTGTCCTCCCAAATCCATAGCTGCTCATATAATTCCGTTTCTTTATTGTACAAATCCCTTTATTAGTAGAGTTAACTAAAAATTAAACAAGGGCCTCCCCGGTGGCGCAGCGGTTGAGCGCTAGGTTGCGAAGCTGCCCACAGCCTCTGCAGTGCTGGTTCAATACCCGGCCGCGGGGCCAGGGTCCCACAAGGCAGGAAGACCTCGCCTGCCCACTGCTGCTCCCCTCAGCAGGGTGTTTTGTTGGTCTGCCTGTTCTGCTCCCTGCTCTGGCTCTGGTGAATTCTCTCACCCTCCCGCGCTTCTGACTGTACCCAGTGCTTGTACAAATAAATAAATAAATAAATAAATCTTTAAATAAATAAATGACATTTAAAAAATAAAAAATTGAACGATACTAGCATAGGGTCTTCATGACCACTATTCTAACAAAAGAGGTGTGATATTGTGATGCAATAAATCCATATTTGGTCTTCATCCCCCTTTTTTGGTCCACTCCTAAAACCCTTGAAATCTAAATTTTTTTGTATGCTAATGAGATGACAGGTGGGAGGAAGAAGGGGGATTCCAACATTAGCCTCAGGAGGGGGGCTGGCTGCCAGGGAGAACCAAGCCAGTGGTCTGAGTTAGCACTTAAAATCTAACCCTACCCCCAACCTGCAGGATGAGGAGAGGGCCTAGTGGTGAATCAGTTGCTAATGGCCAATTATTTAATCAATCCTGCCTACATGGTGGAGCCTCCACAAAAATCCCCGAAGTACAGGGGATCAGAGAGCTTCTGCATTTGTGAATATGTGAAGGTGTGGGGATGGTGGCACCCCTGGATAGGGGGATGGAAGCCCTGCACTTCTCCCATGTACCTTGCCCGATGTCCCTATGCATCCCTTCCACCTGGTTATTCCTGAGTCAGATCCTTTTATAATAAACTAGTGATATAACAAGCTTAGTATTTTCCTTGAGTTCTTTGAGCCATTCTAGCAAATGACTAAACCCAAGGAGGGGGCCTGGGATTTACTGCCAATCTGTCAGAAGCACAGGTGACAACCTGCACTGTGACTGGCCTCAGAAAGTGGCTGGGGACTGTTGTGAGAGTCCTTGGCCTGTGAGATCTGATGCTATCGTTGGATAGATAGCATCAGAGTTGAACTAAATTGTAGGACACCGAATCAGTATTCGCTGGAAAGTAGAGAATTGCTTGGTGTGGGAAATCCCAACAGGCATATGAAAAAATGTTCAGCATCACTTGTAATCAGGGAAATGCAAATCAAAACTACCATGAGATACCATCTTACACCAGTGAGAATGGCACATATTAAAAAACATATGGTCATGGTCCAGTATGAATATTGAGAGTAGGGGGAAAACAGAAGTTTTTTCCCTATGGGAGGTTTATATCTGCAAATTTCTTAGCTATTGGAAATACCCTCACGCTCTCTCCCAGTAATCATCACCAACATGCCTAGAAATGTTATTAGATGACAATAGGGTTTTTATATACTTATAAAACCTTCCCTTCCCTACTTGGGCCCAATGTGCCCATTGTAAAGATGAAAGGGAAGCAGTGAAGGTGATGCTGCTGCAGCCGCCTAAAGGTACAATTGGTAATATAAAACACCCCAGAAAAGATACAAGGTGAGCACCATCTTGAGATTTTTCAGCAAAATAGACCAAGCAGTAGGACACATGCTAACTCAGGGAAGAGTGTGAGCAGCTGCCCAAATACTTTAGATTCATATTCATTACCACTGCAGCACATGGCATTAGGGGACAGAATCATTGCTATGACATTGAGCTTATGGTCAGTGCCATAACTTTGAGAACTAATAAGAAATTTGGACTACAGAGGGGTCTTTTGGTGAGAAATAACAGACACTTGGATAAAACATGAATGACAAATTTTCATCTTCTAGATCCAGAGGATATCTTCTGATAAGGAACTGTTAGGAGGTCATAACTACAAGGAATTAAAACATGGCATTAAGGTGTTTTTTAAACTCAAAAAGTTCAGTTTTCTCTCTCTCTCTCTCTCTCTCTCTCTCTCTCTCACACACACACACACACACACACACACAATGGAGAGCAACACAGGCACTGATTATTTTACTGGATTATTGTGCAATCTAGTTCCAGATTACAAAGAGAAATAGCTTACTGCGTATGTACACCAGAAAAACTGAACATAAAACATCAGCTAATAAGGAATCACTGATTTCACAGGCATATGACTAATGTCATGAAAGAACTTAGTTTTTAACTTTTACAGAAAAAAATGGATGAGGTTCCTTTGACGTTTGATGTAGCTTTAAACAAGAGGGTCAACTCCACAAGTACAAAAACTCAAAACTTTTTCTTTTTCATTTTTTTTATTTTATATATATTTTTACATCATTTTTCATTTTTGCACAATGTATGCATTTTCATCTTGGTTATAGCCCACATATAATTCCCACCTCCCTTGTTTTGATCCTACTCCCTTCTCCCTCTCCACCCCCCAGTGTGTCTCTGGTTTATAGTTGCTTGTTGATTTTGATTTTTTACTTTATTATAATTAGAATTTTTCCTGGTCCCTTATTTAGGTTTTCTAAATTCCTGCTATGAGGGCCACCTGTGGTGGTGTAGCCATTGAGCGCTGAGTTGCAAAGCGGCCCGCAGCCTCTGCAGTCCCACATGGCGTGCAGACCTCTTTGGCCGCCCACTGCTCCCCTCCAGTGTACTTCGTCAGTCTGCCTGCTCTGCTCTCCCCTCTGGCTCTGTTGAATCCTCTCACCCTCCCACGCTTCTGACTGTACCCAGTGCTTGTATGTATATATAAACAAACAAACAAACAAATATATAAATAAATCTTTTAAAAAATAAATTCCTGCTATGACTGAGACCATCTGGTATTTTTCTTTTTCTTTCTGGCTTATTTCACTAAGCATGATCCCTTCCAGCTCCATCCATGTTGCTGCAAATTGCATGAGTTTATCTTTTTTGATTGCTGAGTAATATTCCACGGTGTATATGTACCGTATCTTCTTGATCCAGTCATCTATTTTGGGCATCTGGGTTGTTTCCATAGCTAGCTATTGTAAATAGTGCTGCTATAAAAACATAGGGGTGCAGGTGTCCTTTTGAATTAATGAAAAACTCAAAACTTTTTCAATTAAAAAAATGTAAGACTATTTCAACTTACGGGTATGCAAACAATTTCATAACTGTATTGGCCGATGAACACAACTGCCAACTTTTCTAATTTCAAAAATAAAGACATAATAAAGAGCCTGGATAGTTTACGCATGTGCCCACGCAAAAATTGGTGACATGAGGAAGGAATTTAATTATGGACAAAGTGTGGTTCAAAAAATCCCATGAGACCATCAAAGAAAACAGTTCCCATTCGTCTGGTACCAATTTCTGCTTTTGTGACTAAGGAGGCTGGGAAGACAGTTGATCAAGCAGTCAGTTAGCTGAAATTTTAGATAGCCATCCAGTGGCTGCAATACTTAGATCTATTAGTAAGC